TACGAGCAAGATGGCCGTCCGGAGGCTTCACTCGCGCTGCAGCAAACAAGCGGAGAAGCGCGATCCAGCAATGGACCTTTTGCAGAAACATCGGTTCGAGAGTAAAACAAGCGGAGAAGCGCGATCCAGCAATGGACCTTTTGCAGAAACATCGGTTCGAGAGTAACTGGTTCCAGTACCCTCTCTCTCTTCCTTCTGGCCGAGCAGAGAGGGAAGATGGTTTCGTTGTGTCGACTTCGGGGCGGAAGATTACGCACGATGGGGACAAAGGCGAGTTTGGGGGAGCCGTATCTAGGTCACAGCGTCTCAATGGGTGAACAGGATGTAGCTGACGTTTTGGGAGTGCAACGGGTGGGAGAGGCCTCGCGCGCACGTTGTTTTCTCGTCACTTAGCCTCGACCCCAGTCGCGTGTAGGTGGCAGCACATATTCGCCAAGAGGTCCATTGTCATTGAGATCAGTGGGATTGACCGTGAAGATGTAAGGAACTGGTGATTCAGGTGAAGCACAGGTTGCACAGCTGACGACTACGGCGATTGGAGGTATAGGCCGCTACAGAGTTGTTGACTGGTCGCGCGACCAACGCGAACTTTAGAGTTGCATCCGTGTCCGTGGTGTCCACCCAAACGTCGTGTTTTCCTTTCCGTCCACCGGGGGAAAGGGGGGGGGGGGGGGGGGGGGGGGGGACCGGGAAGCGTTTGCTTGAAGTAGGAAATGGGGATTAGGCTTTAGCGGTTTGGAGGTCGCCATGTCTGTTGACGTTGGGGTTGTTGTTCGGGTGGTCGGCTCCCTTTCCGAAAGTGTTGGAGCCGGGGAGTGGCTCAGGCTGTATGGGGTGAACGCGTTGCCCGTCGTTTTTGCATTCGAGTTCTTTTTTTTTTTTTTTTTTTGCCCTTTCTCTTTTCTTTTCGTGTGAAAGTCTATTTATTGGTATGCTCATATCAATAAAATTGAGCTGCATTTGAGATTTGGTTGTGTTCGTCCGTATTTTTATCGTTCCCCATCTCAGGGTTTACAAGATGTCGATTAATTACCAGCTCGTCTGCACTCTCTCACTGTTTGACACGCTGATCGCGCATTCCCGCTCTGCGAGTGCGGCCACCGGACGGCCATCTTGCATCTCGAAAAATCACGTTTTTGGAACGCGTTTTTGGGGCACGGGGACGGGACTCTTCCCGTCTGAAGAGCTGACCTTATTTTGGGGATCAGCTTGTTTCCCATCCCCTCATCGTCGTGTTGAAGAGGATTCCGCTGTCCTAGGAATGTTTTTCGTGCAAGCTGGCTGTAGTCGTTCGATCAATGTGTCCATGGAGCAGAAAGCAGTGAGAGTGTCAAAGGACTGATCTGACTCTAGAGTCACCGCATTGAATCTAAAGACAACGCCGGGCTTCGAACGCGTTAATTTCAAATATTGAGTCAAATAGCACATTTAGGAATCGTATCAAGTCAGACTACGTAAACGAAGTGCTCATTTTATATCTTTTAAAGCATTTATTTATCTCCGCCTGCGTTGCATTTCCCACGGCCGCGACGAGAACCTACGGAGCTTCACGCCTGCTAAGCTTTTGGGATTGCGAATGTCCGGTATGCAACAGTGCCTACAGCTTTGATGTTTGCTCTTCTGCGACATCCAGTGGCAATTTTAATTACCAAAAATGCATGAATCAACACCTTCAAAGCGATGCGTGAACAGCCCCACGAGCAAGCAGGCTGGCGAAAGGGCCTTCCCAGTGTTGCAAATATTTTTAGCTAGACGGCGCGACGCATCTAAAGGGACTTTACACCAAACTAGGGTGCCTACATGTCTGTCTGTCTCAGGGTGGACATCCATTGTTGCCCTGAATGTGCCAGCGCGTGACACTCTTGCGCACTCGGTGTGTGACTTGGGCGCAAAATGGCGTCTATGCATTAGCCAAAGCTATGCGCTCGAGCTGAGTGACACCGGATTGCGTGTACTTCAAGATGCATTAAAAAAAGATTGGCCGGAGAAATGGCTGAGGTGTTATTACTCAAGCAAAAGCGCGCGTGTGTATGAAGCACGGTATGAGATACACTCTTTAGGTGAGGACACGGCGGGGCTGAACGCGCGGCGCGAGGAATCAGATAATGTTCGTTCGACGGGCATCCGAAAGGCTGCATCACTCCGCGGCCACCGTGCCCGCGGCTGACAGTGTCGCCGGCGGCCAAACGGCGAAACTGTGAGAGCGCAAAAAAAAATTATCTCGTTTCCATGACACCCCGGTACACCGTGGTCTTTCTGCACGTGCGACAACCTCGCTGGAGCTCTGCGCGTGTGGTACATTAGGCGGCACGAGCCGTCTTGTACGTGCCCACGAGTCACCTGCCGGCGCCGCTTGAAACCATAGTGAGAGAGAGTGAAGGGCGAACCAAATACTTTACTATGGGGAATACATTCCACTCCTCTCAAATACAATAGCCTCGGCGCCAACAGGTTTTCTGAGCTTGGCGAGAGCCATCTATCGTCGGGGAGGTCTCGGCTATCGATGATATTGATGTTCTACATACCAAATTCACTGCTGTGGCAATGCGAGACACGTGCCGCGCGCCACTTCTAAGAATAACATGGCGTCTAAACTCTATAAAAAAAATAGCTCAGTGGTGCGCTAAATACTTTGCTGCGCTGTGCCGCCATGATCTTCCCAAGGGCCGCACGTTCCACGTGCCTCGTGCATCGATGCACCTTGTACAGTGTACACCTTGCGCTACTTTTGAAACATGAAGGGGCTTTAGGTGGAATCGGAGACGACACCGCCGCGGCCGCCGCGAACATCCACGTGCACTTGCGCGTGGACTGACGCGGTGGATTCGGCGCTGTAGGCGTTCTGTCTAATGCAAATGAGCAGAGTGGACTGTATTCCCCCTAGTAAAGTATTTGAGCGAACTTTATCGCAGGGTGTCGAACCGGAACCGAACCGAAAACCGGAACCGAACCGGTATTTTTTCCAGAACTGAACCCGAACCGGAACTGAACCGGAAAAAAAAATAACGGTTACCGGCTCATGTCAAAACGGTTCGGCCACGCGCTGTTGACAATGAATGTGCTATCAATGCCATTTGTTTTTTAAGAGCCGTCAACTGACACACACCTCGCTTACATAATTTTCTTCTCCACTCAGTCTTAGGAATATAAACGCTGCATCCATGAATCTTGACCAACGCTGCATCCATGAATCTTGACATGCACGAAAGAAAAAATTGGAAAGCTGTGCAAAAAAAAAAAAAAAAAATCGCGTCACGGGATTTTATTTTCCTACAATCTCGTAAATCCTAAATGCTGCTGTGTGCTCATTTCATAACACGTTTCTAGAACGCGCGAGTTCTTGAAGCTTGCTTCCATCGGAATGAGAAAAGAAGAGGCTGTGGAGTTTGATAATAATGCATCCGGTTTAGAAGCTAACATATTTGCGAGACAGCGAACTCTTCTATTTTAATATTTATCCTATTACGTCCTTCTGGCGTTGCGTTCGGTGAAGTGTTTTTCATATTCCGTATCTTGTTTAATGAAAACTTCTTTAAGGGTCTAATTTGAGTTACCGAAGGCTAGTTCAAATAAAGAAAGCTGTATTTTCTCCCCACTTGCCGAGGTGGCGGGATAGTTAGCGAGTTCTACTTGTAAGTGGGTTTGTTAGGAGGTCGCGGATTTTACAGCTACTGCATAGGACCCACTTAGATGAAGTCCGAATGCGTAAACGTCGGTGAGGTAACGTTTGAGTGCACATAAAGAAACCATTCCTGGTAGAAATCCCTGAGCCTTACACTACAATATATCCCGTTTCGTATGAGCTGATTTCAGATGTTTTATTTGTAATTTATTTTGATGTTGCAATTTGTCATTTATAATTTCCGAACCGATTCGCGAACCGGTTCAGCGCCCCGAACCGGTTCGCGGATCAAATTAATCGAACCGGAACTGAACCGGAACAAAATTAATTTCCCTGAACCTGAACCGTAACCGAACCCGTATTTTTTTCGGTTCGACACACTGCTTTATCGGGCACGTCGCGAGGAGCGCGCTGTCCTCACCTGAAGAGTATTATCTTATACCGGGGTATGAAGGCACTCTACACCAAACTTGATTACCCCGAGGCTACACGGAGTTGGCAGCGCGAGGAAAAGAAACGCGATACTCTGGCTGTGCAAGCAGAGCTTATACAGTTACTCTATTTTATAGAGGCACTTCTTCAGAACAGCTTGCGAACAAACTTTTGCTTCTTCCACTGCAGGCGCGGTCACGGACGACCCGTTCTGAAAAAGCGTTTCAGCCAGAAGAAAAACAAAACATGTTCGTGTCTTTCTCCAACACATGCAACATCTCGCACGAGCATTCCACTAAAGCACAGATCTCCTACATCAGTTCCACTGAAAGCAAAGAACCTATTGCGAACATTGTACAGCGCACTGGCTGAAGGCAAAACTCTTTCAACATGCCTATCCACAACGCAGCACCTAATGCTGTCAATCGCAGCACGCTTTTTGTAATCGTCTGCAATTTTGTTTCCAGCAGGATTACTCAGCAAGTACGACTCTCCTTAGCATTGAAGTGTCGCTGAACAAATTGCATGAAGTATGCTCGGAACAACTAAAAATGAAACACAGTACTAAACAAGTTTTTAACATCTATACACAACCAGGTAATTAGTACATTCAATGGCTAGTTATGCAATTTATGCATAACTACTCTAGGTATAATTAGGTGCCCAATGTTTGCCAACTCCCAGAACGACAACTGGTAATATCACCTCTCACGAAATATGTTCTGAATAAGCAATGCCATCGAAAAATTCCACCGTTGCAGGATTTCGTTACATACACTGTGCAATGAAGATACAAAACCACATAAAAAAACTACCATTACTGCACCAGTTTTCAGGTACAAGTGAGGGTACTGCCTACTTGGGCTACATCTTATGAAGAAAATAGTTTTGTCTCTACCAGAATGCAGTAGCTATAGTAAACCAAGGTTATAACTCTTTCCAGCTATTAATATATTCTTAATTCTTTCCATATTTTATTGATTAGTACATCCTTAGGTGCAAGGCCTCATAAAAACTGCTTTCCAGAGTACACCACCAAAATGTCGGTAAATATTGCACATATAACATAATTATGCATAGGTATTGTTGGCTGCCAAAGCAGTCAGGAATATGAGAAATTTTTACCAGCTCTGTGAGCAGCAAAACACTAGTTCCTGTGTCAAATTTAGAAAATTTAAAAAACTATTTAACTTAAAAAGCTAGTACACTTAGTGAGTGCTTTTGGGACGCAATAAGCTTGCCTGTATCACCCACAGATCAGGTAAAAAGAAGCAGTTGCGAAGTCCATGGATTGCCCATTAACTTGGCATAGCCTGCCTGTCCCTAAAAAGATATCAGGTGACCAAAACACTAAATAATCTAACAATTGTGACTACCACACGGCTTGGGACCAAATGGTGAGAAATATTTGACGTTGTTTGTGACCGACTGTTGGGACCGTCACTTCAAACTTCCTAGCATTACTAGTAACATAGCTGCCAGAAGTTACAATTTCGACTTCTGGCTGAGCTTCAGGCAGTCGTGCATCTGCGTGAGGCTCTCTTCGAGGGCGTCTCTGAACCGAAGGGCGGACGTTTCGGCGCAGCTCTTGAACGAAGACAGTCCGAAGCCGATGGAGTGTTCCTGGGGGTTGTAGCAGCAGCCGTAGCCATCCGGAACAAGGGGACCGAAGAACATAACGGCACCGCATTTTGTGGCCACCTAGGAAGCAAGGCCAAATATGTGCCACGTTACAACTGCTGTGTTACAAACGCTGCACTCCAACTCCACATACCACCGGTTCTCAAAATCCCAGTGGCACGCGGAGGGGAGGGGGGGGGGTGGGGGGGCGGGTATGCACTGATTTTGGGATTGCACCCTTAGCGGATGGGTGAGGCACTGAAGAAATCGTCGAACTGAATGTCTTTGCAGACATTGTAGAACTCTGACAAGTCACACCGAGTTCTTGCCGGTTTCCAGTTGTGAGTGTGTTTTCACTACAGGCTTTCTTTGAGAAAGTGCTCAGATATGCGTTGGCATTTCCGTTTTCACAGCAAGACTGCTTTGAATGGGCTTGCCTGCGGGGTGTCAAATGCAATAAACGGGATTTACCTTCATTCGGCCGGATGACAACTACAACTTTCTCCGATTTACGGTGATGAAAGTTCACCGATGTGCATGCAGCACAATATAAACAGATTCAATGGGGGTCCGCTAATGACCCCTAAGATAGTTGGGGTCCTGCAGCAATGTGGAAGTTGAGAAACACTGCCATACGCTGCGATAGCTGCCAAACAAACATTTAGTAATCAAACTATTTACCACAGTTTCTGCAAACCAAGTTTTGAAAGTAGAGTAGAAAGCATAGTTCGAAAACTTTCGCTAGCGGCAATAAATTCAAATACTATTTCGCTCACACGACTAAATTTTATTGCTCCATAGTAATGGGAAAAGCACATGTACAAGTCCATAGGTTCCACGAGAGCTTGGTTAACACAAGCACTCACACAACCAAAGCACTGTTCAGACTAGCATGCTAGCACCAAACCTTCCTCAATGCTGTCCACAACTATACTGTATGATGAAATAAAAGGGTTGTGTCCTTTCTTTTGTGCAAAAAGTTTAGTACCTGTGAAACATTCTTAAGCCCTAGCCCATGGCAAGTTTTATTGAACCCATTAGAAGCAGCAAAAATGTTGAAAAACAAACAATATTACTGCTTGTACCTTTTGATGAAACTCGTGTTGTGCACCTTCGTCTGGCACAAAGAATCAAATATATCGTACAAATACATCTCCAACTACAACAAACACAGGCATGCATAATGCAAAAAGTGCAGGTATTGGGCCAGTGAGCCAGTGACTAACCGAATGAAATGTCTCATCATGTCACCTTGCAATTTTAAAGAGAAAGGTGCCTAAGGTACAGTTTTTCTGTATACATGAATATAGGAAGTAATATATAGTGTTCATAGATACATCACGAAGGTTATTTTAACTTCACCTTTGCAGACACTATTTAGGGAGACTGAACGTAGGAAGAAAAACCATTTTTTTTTCTACCTAATTAGGGCAGGCATAACACAAAATAAATGTGTGTCGAAAAAAAAAAAATTGCCCCTTATTCATGCTACAATACGAAATTGTACATTGTGGGATGTTGATGATAGCATTTGTACAACTCGGAGAAAACATTAGATGGGTACAAATGCTATCATCATCATTCCACAGAGGTACACTTTTGGTTTTGCCCGCAAACCGAACATTTTTTATTGTAACAAACCTACTGGGCAAAAAAAAAATTTTTTTTAGATAAACATTTATATTAGGCATGCCTGTCCTAACCAGGTAAAGGAAAATAAATTTTATTTTTATTTTTTTGTCATTTTCAAACGAATGAATGTGGGTTATATGATAAAGGACAAGGATTCCAAATAGACATCTAGCTTAGAATTTCAGAAAAATGTTTCACACTCCCTTTTAAGCAATGCTCTAACGAAACAATGGAAATTAACAACTGCTTATTTTTGGCAACATGTGACCCAAGGTATATATTGTTACAGGTTAAGCGAGCCCCCCTGGTCAACTAAAAGTGCCGGTCTACTGAACTTGTATACATATACAATCAAAACTCAATTTAATGAACCCTAATCTTACAAATTTCTCGATCTAACGAACAAATTGTTTCTCCCAAGGTTTCCCATAGGGCCTAATGCTTATATAAACTCAGAATAACGAAGTGAATTGACCCTCGAACTCGATTTAATGAAGTATTCCCGAAAAAATTATATGGCAAAACAAAGGTTATTCCACATTTATTTCGCCTAGAATGGATCGAAGCTTGCCATTCGCGTGCCTGCGGTAGAATCGAGGTAACGGAGGTATCCTACAAAACGAAACTGCAAGGAACACGGATTCTCCTCATGGCTTTGAATCAACTATACCTACACCAGATGGCACTAGCGGCGATGGTTCCTTCATGTTGCCTGCGACACTGATAGTCTCCGTCTCCCCACTCTTTGTTGCTTTGTTAGGATTTTCGTTTTATTTCATTGCTTATCTCTCCCTGCAACCGACCGCATTATCTCGTACATTATCTGTTCCACTCCGTTCTGCGTTGCTGGAAATGGAGCCCCCCAAAAAGAAAAGTGCTGACCCTTGAAGAGAAAGCGGATATCATTCGTGCTGTCACGAGCCGACGGAAGAAATGTGAAGTTGCTGCAGAGCATGGCATCCCAGCCAGCACGCTTTCGACAATCTTGAAATCGAAAGACGCCAGTGTGACCCCTTCGCGGTATGATCTCTTTGCAGACTTTCCCATGCGTTGTTAAAAATTTAAGTGCATGGACACGTAAAATCGGTACCATGGGAGTTCTCACAATGCCCCTGAATTAAGAGTCCATGTTTACCGAACGAAATGTCAGAGAGACGTCTTTCTCGATTTTACGAAGTTCCCGACTTAACTAAGTAATTCGCAGCTCCACTCGACTTCGTCAGATTGAGTTTCGACAGTACATCATTTGATAAAATGAATGCGTTATGAAGTGACTGCCATCTGCTAAAGTGTCATTCTGAGGGCCCCTTTCTTTTTCCAGAAACAGACTCACAGCCTTGGATTATTCTTCAAAAGTGAGCTCCACCTCAATATACAAAAAATAATTGATGAAACATGATTTTTGGACCAATGCACACCACACTAGTTGTACACACCTGACTGGAAGAAATCCGAAAGTGTGTGCTGACTTGAAAGCCTTTGTCCTTGAACAGGTCAGGAAGCGGAATTCCATTCTCGGCCGCTACCAGCTTCAAACCAAGGAACAGCCTGTCCACTCCAAGTCCGTTGATCGCCTTTAGTTAATGAGCAGGCAAGGACAGAGAAAAAAAGAAGGTACATCCTTGTGGGTTCCCACTCAAACCACAACATACTAAAAAGAGGTGAAGAACACTTTGAAGAATCTTTGCACTAAATCACTTTCCAGAGGTTTTTAGCAATACCTACCTACAGAAGACAGAAATACCATAGAAATGTTTGACACAAATTTCAATCAACGGGTTTCTGAATAGAAAACGCTTTTCCCAACATACTTCACTACCGTAAACTCCTGAAAGAATGCCCTCCCAAATTGGAGAGATAAATGTTGAAATATATGAGGTGGGTTAACTTTAAAGATGTGACAGCAAAATTTTATAAAAAAATTTGTGATAAACCCTTGGGCCCTGCCACAAACCACATGGAATGGAAACTAGTACTGCAGATCGTGGACATGGCTAATTTACGTTTAACTGTGTGATAAACACACGAGAATTTGTTACGGGCGCCCCTGTCACCTTTCCTGCCACGGGAAGGGTCTTTCCACATCAGATCGTGCAATGATGGTCTGGGTCATATTTCTTATATTTATGTAAAAAATATATGTTAAAGCCATGTTTTTGGGAGATGCACTCAGCTATATGTGAACACTGTAGCTAATTTTCTTCCAGAGATATAAGATTTCGAAACTCGAGGCGTGGAGACTGCCAAGGTTTTGCTATGGTACTTTGCACAGCCATCAATTTCACACTTCAGCATGCACATAGTTTTAATTATATTTTCTACTTATTTTATAAAAGGTTTACGACATGTACATGAAATAGTAAATATTATTGTAAAAAATTTCTATAGAAAAAAATTTACAATGTCAAATAAACATGTGTTAGAGACAGGTTCACAAATTATTTGCCAACTACTTCAGATAAAACAACGCTAAGCACATAAAAATGTTTGGCTTTAAATGCATTATACGAATATACAAGAAAAATACACCTAGCCCTTATTGCAGTTCTGTTATTTACGTAAAAACGCAGCTCATTTCTCTAGATGCAGCAAAATTGCATGTCAGTGTTTAAAAAGCCCAGCTTTTTATTTTATTTAAACACTCCTTAACCATTTATAGTTGCTTGAACTAACTTGTGATGGTAAAACATTGAGTAACATTTGACCTCCTTAAAGGCCGACATACCAACCTCGGTTTTCTGCAGGGAAGATAATCCTCTTAGTGTTCTCCTCTACTAAGTTGCGAGGGGAACCCAAGTTGGGGCAAGGTAAAAAGTGGAGAGGATATAGGAAAGGAGGAGACGGGCAAAAGTGGAAAGCGCAAAGTGTGCGTCGGCCTTTAAGAAAAAAAAACAACCTTCACTCAAGCCGAGTTAACTTGTCTTTGTTATAGGGGCTGGGCCGCATGACGTCGGCTACAAGGACACATTTTTACAACCTTCACTCAAATCGTGTTAGTTTATCTTTATTGTAAGAGCTTTGCCACATGACTTGGGCTCCAACGGGACATTTTCTTGGACCTACATAGGCTGTATAGCAGTGCTGCTCTACTGTAGGGTGTAAAAAATTATGGAGTCCTTTGTTTAACTTTATATTTGTCTTTCCTTGTGTTGCCTCCTTGAAGAATTTGCAGATTCGACAGCAAATAACTGTTGCTATCGCATCTCGCATCATTTCTGCTGTCACAGAAAAGGGCATGCTTTGGTGTAGGAGGCAACGCAAGAGAACACAAACATAAAATTAACTAGGTAAGCTAGGGACAGCATGACTTTTTATTCACTACAATAGAGCAGCACCACTCCTACAGCCTTTGTCGGTTGTAAAAACGTGTCCTTGTAGCCGATGTCATGCGGCAAAGCCCCTATAACGAAGACGAGCTAACTCAACTTGAGTGAAGGTTGTCATTTTTTTTTTTTTTTTTTCTTAAAGAGGTTATATGTTACTCAGTGTTTCGCTATCACAAGTTAGTTTGAGTCACTGTAAATGGTTAAGCAAAGCTTAAAAAAATAAAAAGTGAATTTTTTATATTTCTTTTTTTAATGTGCAATTTTATTACTTTTAGAGAAATAAGTTACATTTTTGTGTTAATAACAGAACTGCAGTAATGGTTCAACAAATTTTTTTATATATTTATCAAATACATTCACAGACAATCATTTCAATGTATTTTGTGTTGTTTTATATGAGGTGGTTCATTGGTAAATAATTTGCAAATGTGTCTCTAAAACGTCTTTATTTGACGTGTTCCATGCATTTTTTTTACATAGAAATCTTTAAATGTATATTACGTGCACATGTCGTAAAGCTTTTATAAAATAAGCAGAAAACATTACTACAGGCATGCTTCAGTTTGAACTTTACGGCTGCGCAAAGTACCATAGCGAAACCTCAACAACCTCCACGCCTCGAGTTTCGAAATTTTATATCTCCTGAATAAAATTAGTTACGACATTCGCATATAGCCAAATGTTCCTCCCAAGAACATGACTAACATTTTTTTTAAATGCAAAACCATTTACTGTTTGATGGAGCGAGCCAACGATATCAGTTTGAAGCGCGAAAACGGCACCTAGCTTCCCAGATCCCAAAGGTACCATTGGCTGGCACACGGCAACGAGGCTCCCATTGGCCGCTGTGCGCATCAGTTTCAACGATCGCCGCCAGATGGCACTGCGTGTCCGTGCCGCCAGCACGCTGATAAAACTAACCGCCACAACCCCATGCCACTACAGGCCCTGCACCAGTTAAAACGGACACGCCGGCGTGCGCCCAGAGGCTTCTGCACGTCTTGCCGCCGACCAACATGCCGTCGCCTCCATCATCCATATCATCAACAGTGCTTCTGCTCGTCTCGCTGCCGACGAACATGGCGCCGCCTCTGGCATCCGCATCGTTACCAGTGCTTCTGCTTGTCTCGCCGTCGACGAACAAGGCACCGCCTCCAACATCAACATTGTCGGTGGTGCTTCTGCTCGTCTCGCCGCCGAAGAACATGGCAACACCTCTAGCATACACATCGTCAGCAGTGCTTCTGCTCGTCTCGCTGCCGAAAAACATGACGCCACCTCTACCATCCACATCGTCGGAGGTACTTCTGCTCGTCTCGCCGCCGAAGAACATGGCAACGCCTCTAGCATCCACATCGTCGGCGGTGCTTCTACTCGTCTCACCGACGACGAACATGGCGCCGCCTCCAACATCCACATCGTCGGCGGTGCTTCTGGTCGTCTCCCTGCCGACGAACATGGCGCCACCTCTAGAATCCACATCGTCGGCGGTGCTTCTGCTCGTCTCGCCGCCGAAGAACATGGCACTGCCTCTAGCACCCACATCGTCGGCGGTGCTTCTGCTCGTCTCATCGCCGAGGAGCATGGTGGCACCTCTAGCATCCACATCGTTGGCGGTGCTTCTGCTCATCTTGACGCCGAAGAAAATAGCGCCGCCTCTAGCATCCACATCGTCGGCGGTGCTTCTGCTCGTCTTGCCGCCGAAGAACATGGCGCCGCCTCTAGCATACACATCGTCGGCGGTGCTTCTGCTCGTCTCAACGCTGAAGAACATGGCGCCGCCTCTAGCATCCACATCGTCACCGGTGCTTCTGCTCATCTCAATGCTGAAGAAGATGGGGCCGCCTCTAGCATCCACATCGTCGGCGGTGCTTCTACTCGTCTCGCCGCCGAAGAACATGGCGCCGCCTCTAGCATCCACATCGTCGGCGGTGCTTCTTGCTCGTCTCGCCGCCGAAGAACATGGCGCCGCCTCTAGCATACACATCGACGGCGGTGCTTCTGCTCGTCTCAACGCTGAAGAACATCAGCATCCACATCGTCACCGGTGCTTCTGCTCGTCTCAACGCTGAAGAAGATGGGGCCGCCTCTAGCATCCACATCGTCGGCGGTGCTTCTACTCGTCTCGCCGCCGAAGAAAATGGCGCCACCTCTAGCATCCACATCGTCGGCCGTGCTTCTGCTCGTCTCGCCACCGAAGAACATGGCACCGCCTCTAGTATACACATCGTCGGCGGTGCTTCTGCTCGTCTCAATGCTGAAGAACATGGCGCCGCCTCTAGCATCCGCATCGTCACCGGTGCTTCTGCTCGTCTCAACGCTGAAGAAGATGGGGCCGCCTCTAGCGTCCACATCGTCGGCGGTGCTTCTACTCGTCTCGCTGCCGAGGAACATGGCACCGCCTCTAGCATCCACATCGTCGCCAGTTCTTCGGCTCGTCTCAACGCCGAAGCACATGGCACCGCCTTTAGCACCCACATCGTCGCCGGTGCTTCTGCTCGCCTCGCTGCCAACAAAGAACATGGCGCCGCCTATAGCATCCACATTGTTGGCGGTGCTTCAGCTCGTCTCGCCGCCGACGAATATGGCGCCACCTCTAGCATCCACATTGTCGGCGGTGCTTCTGCTCGACTCGCCGCCGAAGAACATGGCGGCACCTCTAGCATCCAGATTGTTGGCGGTGCTTCTGCTGGTCTTGGCGCCGAAGAATATGGCGCCGCCTCTAGCATCCACATCGTCGGCGGTACTTTTGCTCGTCTCGCCGCCGAAGAACATGGCGCCGCCTCTAGAATCCACATCATCGGCGGTACTTTTGCTCGCCTCGCCGCCAAAGAACATGGCACCGCCTCTAGCATCCACATTGTCGGCGGTGCTTCTGCTCGTCTCGCCGCCAAAGAACATGACACCGCCTCTAGCATCCACACTGTCGGCGGTGCTTCTGCTCGTCTCGCCACCGAAGAACCTGGCGCCGCCTCTAGCATCCACATCGTTGGCGGTACCTTTGCTCGTCTTGCCGCCGAAGAACATGGCACCGCCTCTAGCATCCACATCGTTGGCGGTACTTTTGCTCGTCTCGCCGCCAAAGAACATGGCACCGCCTCTAGCATCCACATTGTCGGCGGTGCTTCTGCTCGTCTCGCCGCCAAAGAACATGGCACCGCCTCTAGCATCCACACTGTCGGCGGTGCTTCTGCTCGTCTCGCCACCGAAGAACCTGGCGCCGCCTCTAGCATCCACATCGTTGGCGGTACCTTTGCTCGTCTTGCCGCCGAAGAACATGGCACCGCCTCTAGCATCCACATCGTTGGCGGTACTTTTGCTCGTCTCACCGCCGAAGAACATGGCGCTGCCTCTAGCATCCACATCGTCGGCGGTGCTTCTGCTCGTCTCGCCGCCGAAGAACATGGCGACGCCTCTAGCGTCCACATCGTCGGCGGTGCTTCTGCTCGTCTCGCCACCTAAGAACCTGGCGCCGCCTCTAGCATCCACATCGTCGGCGGTACCTTTGCTCGTCTTGCCGCCGAAGAACATGGCACCGCCTCTAGCATCCACATCGTTGGCGGTACTTTTGCTCGTCTCACCGCCGAAGAACATGGCGCTGCCTCTAGCATCCACATCTTCGGCGGTGCTTCTGCTCGTCTCGCCACCGAAGAACCTGGCGCCGCCTCTAGCATCCACATCGTCGGCGGTGCTTCTGCTCGTCTCGCCGCCAAAGAACATGGCGACGCCTCGAGCGTCCACATCGTCGGCGGTGCTTCTGCTCGTCTCGCCACCGAAGAACCTGGCGCCGCCTCTAGCATCCACATCGTCGGCAGTACCTTTGCTCGTCTTGCCGCCGAAGAACATGGCACCGCCTCTAGCATCCACATCGTTGGCGGCACTTTTGCTCGTCTCACCGCCGAAGAACATGGCGCTGCCTCTAGCATCCACATCGTCGGCGGTGCTTCTGCTCGTCTCGCCGCCGAAGAACATGGCGACGCCTCTAGCGTCCACATCGTCGGCGGTACCTTTGCTCGTCTTGCCGCCGAACAACATGGCACCGCCTCTAGCATCCACATCGTTGGCGGTACTTTTGCTCGTCTCACCGCCGAAGAACATGGCGCTGCCTCTAGCATCCACATCGTCGGCGGTGCTTCTGCTCGTCTCACCGCCAAAGAACATGGCGACGCCTCTAGCGTCCACATCGTCGGCGGTGCTTCTGCTCGTCTCGCCACCGAAGAACCTGGCGCCGCCTCTAGCATCCACATCATCGGCGGTGCTTCTGCTCGTCTCACCGCCAAAGAACATGGCGACGCCTCGAGCGTCCACATCGTCGGCGGTGCTTCTGCTCGTCTCGCCACCGAAGAACCTGGCGCCGCCTCTAGCATCCACATCGTCGGCAGTACCTTTGCTCGTCTTGCCGCCGAAGAACATGGCACCGCCTCTAGCATCCACATCGTTGGCGGCACTTTTGCTCGTCTCACCGCCGAAGAACATGGCGCTGCCTCTAGCATCCACATCGTCGGCGGTGCTTCTGCTCGTCTCGCCGCCGAAGAACATGGCGACGCCTCTAGCGTCCACATCGTCGGCGGTACCTTTGCTCGTCTTGCCGCCGAACAACATGGCACCGCCTCTAGCATCCACATCGTTGGCGGTACTTTTGCTCGTCTCACCGCCGAAGAACATGGCGCTGCCTCTAGCATCCACATCGTCGGCGGTGCTTCTGCTCGTCTCACCGCCAAAGAACATGGCGACGCCTCTAGCGTCCACATCGTCGGCGGTGCTTCTGCTCGTCTCGCCACCGAAGAACCTGGCGCCGCCTCTAGCATCCACATCATCGGCGGTGCTTCTGCTCGTCTCACCGCCAAAGAACATGGCGACGCCTCTAGCGTCCACATCGTCGGCGGTGCTTCTGCTCGTCTCGCCACCGAAGAACCTGGCGCCGCCTCTAGCATCCACATCGTCGGCGGTACCTTTGCTCGTCTTGCTGCCGAAGAACATGGCACCGCCTCTAGCATCCACATCGTTGGCGGTACTTTTGCTCGTCTCACCGCCGAAGAACATGGCGCTGCCTCTAGCATCCACATCGTCAGCGGTGCTTCTGCTCGTCTCGCCGCCGAAGAACATGGCGCCGCCTCTAGCGTCCACATCGTCGGCGGTGCTTCTGCTCGTCTCGCCACCTAAGAACCTGGCGCCGCCTCTAGCATCCACATCGTCGGCGGTACCTTTGCTCGTCTTGCCGCCGAAGAACATGGCACCGCCTCTAGCATCCACATCGTTGGCGGTACTTTTGCTCGTCTCACCGCCGAAGAACATGGCGCTGCCTCTAGCATCCACATCTTCGGCGGCACTTTTGCTCGTCTCACCGCCGAAGAACATGGCGCTGCCTCTAGCATCCACATCGTCGGCGGTGCTTCTGCTCGTCTCGCCGCCGAAGAACATGGCGACGCCTCTAGCGTCCACATCGTCGGCGGTACCTTTGCTCGTCTTGCCGCCGAACAACATGGCACCGCCTCTAGCATCCACATCGTTGGCGGTACTTTTGCTCGTCTCACCGCCGAAGAACATGGCGCTGCCTCTAGCATCCACATCGTCGGCGGTGCTTCTGCTCGTCTCACCGCCAAAGAACATGGCGACGCCTCTAGCGTCCACATCGTCGGCGGTGCTTCTGCTCGTCTCGCCACCGAAGAACCTGGCGCCGCCTCTAGCATCCACATCATCGGCGGTGCTTCTGCTCGTCTCACCGCCAAAGAACATGGCGACGCCTCTAGCGTCCACATCGTCGGCGGTGCTTCTGCTCGTCTCGCCACCGAAGAACCTGGCGCCGCCTCTAGCATCCACATCGTCGGCGGTACCTTTGCTCGTCTTGCTGCCGAAGAACATGGCACCGCCTCTAGCATCCACATCGTTGGCGGTACTTTTGCTCGTCTCACCGCCGAAGAACATGGCGCTGCCTCTAGCATCCACATCGTCAGCGGTGCTTCTGCTCGTCTCGCCGCCGAAGAACATGGCGCCGCCTCTAGCGTCCACATCGTCGGCGGTGCTTCTGCTCGTCTCGCCACCTAAGAAACTGGCGCCGCCTCTAGCATCCACATCGTCGGCAATGCTTCTGCTCGTCTCGCCGCTGACGAACATGGCACCGCCTCTAGCATCCACATCGTCGGACATTAATGCTTTCACATTCACAAATGATAAGAAGTGCTTAAGTGTCCTTTATGCGTAACATGTGTCTAAAGTGTCAAACTGCCCGCGTCATGTAGGACAAATAATAAGAGGATTGAAAGAAGAAAACGAAGAGGCGACAAAACACTCACACAGCGCTGTGCGAGTGTTTTTTGTCAGCTGTGAGTTTATCACTAAGTGTGATTGCTTTTGTGGCCGGTAGTGACGTGTGTTTGTGTGTAACCCCATACTTTTTTTAACATAAATATAAAAAGTATAACCCGGACCATTACTGCTGATCCGATGTGGAAACACCCCACAGAATGTGGACGCAGCAGATTCGCACTTCACGGCCCGATGAACCTGCGAGAACTTGCTAGAAACTCTGGTTTCATGAGAATCAATACCGTGCGTGCAGATTGCAGACATAAGTGTGGGAACCTGCTACAAACTCATACATCACAAGAATGGATGCCGCAGATTGCTGACGCAGCAAATTAGCGTTTCACAGTGTGATAAACACGCGGCAAAAGCTGCACGTTTTATGCCGAAATCATGCTGCAATCACTGCTATCGTCACCTAGCTCTCTCCTTGTGGAGAATACCAATACACTATACTCGACGTCCACCAGTTTGTGCAATGTCGTTAAGGTTAGCGTAACTTCTGCAGTGCTACAGCTCCGTCAAAACTGGCTGCGCAAGTGCATGCAACCGGCGCAAAAGACGAAGTCACGTGCTCTCGCAGCGGTGTGGAGCAGCAGCACCACTCAAGCCACGCTAACCTTGACAAATGTGGCACAAAACAGCAGACGCCGAGCGTGTCAAGTCACAGATTTTTTTGCCAAATAAAGCAAAGGCAGCCTTAAAACAAATCAACATGCTGCAAAGCTGACTGGGGAATAAATAGCACTCTCGCTCGGCATTAGCTTGTGTTGTCGACGAGTCATTGAACGGCAAGATGGGAGTTACCAGCTGGGTGTAGCTTTTGTGGTTCTCTACCGCCTTCCTCAGGCTGGCGTCCCTCTCGGCCACACTGGAGGCCGAGTTCTCAAAAACCTTGCAGAAGGCCAGGCTGTCCGAAGAGGTCGACCGAATCGTTTCCGTCCGACCGTGCAGGAACATGCGCGTCGAGGCACTCTCGTATGTTGCGCCCGGAGCCCGGTGTATTCTGGGATTGCGGAAGAAGAAGGGGCAAGCTCAAAAGCCTCTGGCTCGAAAGAAAACAAAAAAAAACGTATGTAGCGGTTTTGAAACGGCACGGAAGTTTGGGTGTGCTGTACATTTGCATTGTCGATGAGGACCAGTGCAATCAAGGTTGGCGAGCGTGTCACGCCTTACAAATGTCATTCCCTCCACCACTGCAGGAGCAGTAAAGAAGAAAGTGCATAAAAATCAGTACCAAAACCTATTGCTAGTTGACTGCAGGTTCTCAAACCTTCAGATCTCGAGGAGCTATCCTCTGCCTCGAATGGCATCCAGGAACCTCTGCCAGTCTCGGCAGTGATGCACCAGAGCAGTGCAGAAGCATGCAGACCTTGCAATCGATAATGTATGTGTCGTAAGCGTTCGGCTCATAGTTACGTATCAATTGGCAGCTGATATTCTAAAATGGTGGTTACAATGGAAAACTTCACTTAAAGGGGCCCTGCAATCATATTTAAGCGTCTACCTTTTTTGCGGTTTCCAAGACTCTTGGAGTTCGGGCAAGCCAGCGGGCACGGAGAGAGTAACTAAATATCAGTGCAATATATTTTAACCGGACGACGCGGGAACCTCCTCCACCGACGAGGGCGACCTGTGGTACCGAAAGCGCGCAAAATGTGACGTCTTTGGTCCTGGGCTTACTACTGGTCAGAGCCGCTAAAAGCTTTTTTTTTAGTTGAAATACAAAATATAAGTGGCGCGAACCGTTTCAATTACTGGTAAAAGTAGTTTTTGTTCAGTATTTTAGATCAGAAAAGAAACAAATGCAGTTTATAAAGTACGGAAACAAGAAATGACCCGTCGACATACCCGCCACCACGCGGTGGAAAAGGCGGCGCATACTAGAAAAGAGTAGTGGGATCAGGCACCGGACACGGAAAGGTCCCAGATGTACGCGACGGCGCTGCGGTCGTTTACGGACTGGAGAATCCGACCGGCTCCGAGCGGTCCGAAGGCCTTCAGCGAGTAACTTTGTCTTGCGTTTTGGCCATCTCGTGGTACAACAGCGCGAAGGGACTCAAATTCTGAACTGATTTTTACCCCGTGTTTGCTGTCGTTTGTGGCCAGTGAAGTGTCATGCCGAATTAGTGTTTTATCCCGCAGCAAATGCAATGAGAGCCGCTCTGGCTGCCCGCTGTATGCAGCCTATCCAGAACACGCTTCAGTGGCGCCCTCTCGCGCCGTCGACAGGGAGTGCGGCAGCCGTGTGCGCTCGCTGAGCTCACTATCTCTTTTCTAGTTCACGGCCACTCAAGCAACCAAGGATGTCATGAGGGAGGTTATTTTTTGCTTGTTTTTGTAATCTTAATTTGCCTATAACTTTTAAAATAAAGCGAAATTCGAGAAAAGAAAAGTTACATTAAGTTACTACGATCAGTGCGCTCAGGCTTGGCGCAAATAAAAAACCAGTAAAAAAGTGCTTGCAGGGCCCCTTTAAAGGGCAACTCCGCTTCTTTTCCAGTAGTGCAAAACTATACAGTTCTCTTTGTTATCATCTACCAAACCCCCATGGCAAATATTACGACGAAATTCCGCCTAGAAGTTCATTAAAATCGCTGTCAAAGTTTGACAAGCACGAATCCGCTGGTTTTGGTTGAGACGTGCGGGCCAGACAACACTGCCCGGCTGCATTTCCGCTTCCTCCAAATTCCTTCTCCCGGCACGTCCGCGACGTCATCAAACATGTACAGCTTCTTTTTTTTTTTCAATTTTGTTTTCTTTCCCGGGGAGAGCACGGGTGGCACCAGCGCCGTGAAAGACGTGAGTGACGCGCTCGGCCGGCCCGGCGCTAGACTATTGATAGTACTGATAAGCCGATCACCTCGTTGAGCGCGGCTTGTGTTACATCGCATACTTTTGAACACCAAGTAAAAGGAGGAGAGGGAAGCTGCTTTTGTAAGAATTTTGAGTGACAGGTTAATCTTCTATAATCTTCTGGGAGGAGAATAGCGACGCCTGTGCTAATCCAGGAGGCACAAATGAGGATCCTGATAAGAGGGGAGCTTCTTCTTCCCCTTGTATATCACGTGGGTGTACATGCTTAGTGATGCCGAATATACAATGTTGTCCGGCTTTGCCACCATTTCGGTATCGGTTTGTGATCATGGCTAGAATAAAATTACACGAAAAATATTTTATTTTTCGCGAAACAAAGGATTGGGGATTGTTTTTGAGTGCTTCAAAAAGCAAAATCGGCCACTATCTCAATATTTTTGAAATTAAGCGGAGTTGCCCTTTAAAGAGAGAATTGTCAGATAAAACCGGGGAGCTCGAGGAACTTACAAGGATATTCCAAAGGACCCCAGGTCCTTGGAACCCAGTTGTGGATCCAATGGATAGCAGACATCTAAATGCACTCCCTTCTAGAACCAATTTTCCCGTTTTGCTCACAACCGAGACCCTAGCATGTTGTTTAGAACATGCCAGAGCATTTGAGGCAGTGCACATGTTGCTTCGTGGCATGGTTAGCTTATTCGGCGCTCCTAGCACGAAAGTTCCCAAAGGGGTAACTCTACTATCACGATCAAACTGAACTAAAACAGCTATCTGGCCTTTTTCTGCATCAGTGGTCCCAGAAGTACTGTTATCTCTCAATCTGTCAAAAAGCCCAAGTATGGGACCTCAACTTTGCATTCAACTCCTAGTTTGGACCACACATCTCTCTTGAAAACTGGCAGGTACGCCAGAGAAGCATGAAGGACTGTTTCAGCTCACATTGAGTGCGATGGTACAGGCTAAGCTCGTTATAACAGATCTTGATTTTGACCAAGATTGGGTGTGTTGTAAAAGGAGTATGTTGTATGCAGATAAGAAGTTGCGTCAATGGTACATACAGGAAAACCAACTAAACTCCACAAATCCGTATGTTATATCCAAATGTCAGTCAGTTGTAACCAGGTCTGTTGTAATGAGCTTAGACTGTACATAGAGAATACAATGTGCAACCTCAATGCAAAGAAAGTGGGTGCTGCAATACGGCGTAGGCGCATACCTACTTGTAAAACGCCAACTGCATGGCCATTTGCACGTAACTGTCGGGGCTGAGTTTGCAGGATTTGATGAAGTCCTTCCCATAACTGGGAAACTTGTACAGCAGGAGGTCCATGTCACTCGCTAGCCTGCCAAGGTTAGAAGCACCAGCAGAACGTTTCGTAAGACCTCGGCTCACTTGTAGCAGTTGAAATATGTATTCCTTTTAGAGTAGGGCTGTATCGCCACGTTTCTGGCCGAGAAGGAATATGCTACTCCATACTTCTAGAAGATTCGCGTCTACTTCTACCCCAAATGTTTAACACTTGAATGTTTGAGATGCCGGATGTAATACATAAGGAGGCCAACGTTACCTTGCAAAGTCCGTCTCCCGAGTGTTCAACGCATAAACGTTCTAGACCGAATATTCGAGATACCGAGGGTACTAGCTAAGGAGCCCAGCGCAGCCTTGCCGGCTGACTCTTGCACCCTTGCACTAGCCAGCTATCATGCCGACGCCGCGATGCTCGCTAATGCTTTTCAACAGTCATTCTCTCTTTTGTTTGTGGCAGAAGTTCACCCATTAAACCTTTATTTTCAGTTCTACATTGGTCAATCCATTTTCCATCTGTGACTATATAAAGGTAAGTAGAATCTGCTAGTGGCTATTATACAAATTAAACCAGTCCCTAAAAGATTTCAAGCTGACATGCAGCATGTTGACCTATGCTATACTCAGTCACGAAGTAACCATCGAAGGAAAGATTAAGATCAAATAACAATGAAACACAAGTGATATAACATCAGGTGTACTCATTTAAACACACCGGTTTGCCGCCTCCTTTGTGGCAGTCACCCACCTTGCAATGGACAACTTGGCCTCTTCAATGTCCTGCAGGGTCTCCGGCCCAACCTCAAACTCCAGTCTCTCTGGAACGTTTCCTGTGGCAGGTGGTGACCAGTGGAACTTGCCCTTGCTTTCCCTGCATTTTGAATTTCATGAAAGAAAACAGAATTCATGGTTCTCTGGGCTTGCTGTTTTCTGTAAAACATATAATCAACACCTATTTTTCATGGCTCAGAATGCACTTCATAAGTAGAATGCAAGGGGGAATATCGCCTCAAAATTCCACTTTAAGAAAAAAAAAAAAAAAAAAGCTTTTTTTCGAATAATACTACAGTATTCATGTTTACTAACTTCCAAAGAATGGTTACAGAAACTTTTATTTATAAAAAGTAGAAATTTATCTCACAAAAAAAGCTTTCAGCCTTTCCACTCTGGTGAAGAAGGAAGACCAGCGAAGCTCTACTATGATGGGACGAGCTCAAGCCCGACTTCTTGGACGACCTCAAGGACGACGCCTAGAGGACGTCTAGGACGATCTCAAGGATGACTTCTGGATGTCCTTGAGAACGACACCTAAAGGACAACCTCAGGGACGACGTCTGGGACGACCTCAAGGACGACACCTAGGATGACCTCAGGGACGACGACTAGGATGACCTCAAGGACGACTTTTAGGACGACATCAAGGACGACGTCTAGGACGACGTCTAGGACGACTTCTAGAATGACCTCAGGACGTCTAGGACAATCTCAAGGACAACTTCTTGGACGGCCTCGAGGACGATGTCTGAGATGACCTCAAGGACGACACCTAGGACGACCTCAAGAACGAAGTCTAGGACGACCTCAAGGACAACTTTTAGGACGACCTCGAGGACAATGTCTACGACGACCTCAAGGACAACTTCTAGGACGACCTCAAGGACGACTTCTAGGACGACCTGGAGGACGACATCTAGGACGACGCCTAGAGAAATTCAGCCTTTCCACTCTGCTGAAAACCAGAGTGGAAAGGCTGGAAAGGTTGCTGCCGGGTGCCAGGAAGTTGGTTGTCTGATTGCCGTCGTCGCTCATAGATGGCAGTAGCTGTCCAGAGTTTTTTGTCAACATTTTTTTGCGGGGGACACGATCCTCGGGAAACTAACCCTTAACAGCTCCGCTGTAAAAATAATTTTCAGCATGCCAGCAACAGGGAGCAAAGTTTTACATTTAGGACTGCTCTATGCTCATTTAACATAGCCAGAACATGTAACCCTCATTGGAAGCACTATTTAGCCTAGATTTAGCGTGTTAGGAGCTTTCAAGGTATAAAAGAATCAGTGGCCAAGGCAAGCCCATACATCCAAACAGAATGAAATGTGGAAAATAAAGTATGAGCGACCATATTGATTGAGACCTAAAACAGGGTTTAGGACTAGTCCTGCCCGGTAACATGGTACCATTGTGATATCTCCTGCAGTGCCCTTTTGACAGTATCTTCCACTTGCGATCATATTGCGACTTTGCCGCTCTTCTTCAGTATTGTTTGCCTTTTAGTTCTCTGCAGTTTATCTGTCAAGGAATGCCTGCTGCCAAAGTTAGCTCGCCCACAAACGACGCAAGCTTATAGCTAATGCTAGGAGGACAATGAAGTCTCAGAGGAAGGTGACACCTATGCTTCAGGTGAATTTTGTCTGCCTGGGACTCATAGAAAATAGAAAAGCCTAAAGGTGAAACTTCAAATGCAATTTCCTCAGTTTCATATTTTGGTAGGAAATGTTGTATGAGGAAAAGTATCATTTGACTTTCCAAAAGCAGGCATTCCTCGACAGATAAAATTAATTCAGCGCTGTCCTTGACCAAAACTTCTCGAGGAACAAGATAGGGCATTCATAATCCAAAAAACAAAACAAAAAAAAACACTCCTTCATGATGAAAACTTATTATTTTAAAACACAAAGCTTTAAAAATTTTGTTGTTATTAATGCATTTGCATTAGTACCCACATGACAGCGAAAACCTGACAGCATCCATCTGTGGACAAAATGGTGAAAAGGGAAGCACACCGCATAGAGATCAGGAGAGTAGTGAAGGACAAAGGCGAGGGGGAGGCAGTGACAAGGGGCGGAAGCCAATGTGCGCATGGATGCTGAAGCGAGTCTGAACTTGCAGGTGTGCGGAGCGCGTATGCATTGGTTTGTGCTACAAAATGTAGTGTGTACCAAATATTAGCAATGGTCCAATAGGCAGAAAAAAAATTAAAGGAAGATCCATTGGTGAACCTTTAGGGAATGCGTCAGTATGACACTTGGGAAATGCCACACACGTCCCACTCTGGGAAACATTAACGCTAACCCCATAACGAGGTCAAAAAGAGGCAGCAAAAAAATAGAGTCAAGACCGAAACGAAACCAAAACTGATGTCACACATTACCTTTTTTTAAAAAGTGATGCAAATGAATTATATGCACACTCTTTATTCATCATAAATGTTTAAAACAAAACAAATGAATTTCTTTTTTGTTTTAATAGTAAAGAAACTATCATCAAAACGTTTCACATGAATTCACAATGGCCGCCCTTGCCGAGCTTTGGCTTCTGCAACATGCTGTGATTGTTTTAGCGGCAGTTCTGGTCCCGGATCATACCCTTTCCCACAATATTTGCTGCTACTGTCGAGACCGGTTATAACAAAGTCAACGGGAACCGGAAATTACTTCGCTATATTCGCTATTTCATTATAACCGACTTCGGTTAACGAAGTGCAGAAGGGAATGGGAAATCGTGATATTGCTTCGCTGTAGCCGCTATTTCATTATAACCGACTTCGTTATAACCGGTTTCGACAGTATAATACTTTCTAGATACCTCCACCAACCTTTTGCAATAGTAAGTGCTTTGCTGGCGGTGGCTATGGGCGGCGATGAGGCAAACGCACCACCTTCAGCTCTATTGGGGCGAACCCCCATCAGTTAACTGAAGTACGCCAGCTCAGTTGAACTTGATGATCGTTAGCGGCTCAATGACAGTTGATGCCACAATGAACCACCGACTCATCGAGGTTGAATCAACTGTCATTGGCTTAACGACAGTTGACAGCGGTCGTGTAACTGGGTATTAGACCTATCTAACTTGTTAGTCGTGTGTATGCAACACACTTTGTATATTTTGAATTTTTAAAAATTATAACATGATTTTATATAGCCTCAAATATTTAATCTTTTGTTCTCATTTTTGCACAAATTCCAAATTCAGCATTGAAATTTGGCAAAGTTTTTTTGGACATTAGTGTAAACTCTTTCTTCTTATACAGAGCAGCTTTGTAGCTACATTTTGATGTATCATAAATAATAATATGCTGCGTAAATATTCTTAAAAAAAGTGTTTATTTTTTAAAAATTATTGGTCTTCCCCATTGTACGAAAGACATATGGTATGGGGACAAGAAAAAAACAATTATACACAAATGCTCACATGTATTTGTAGCAGTGGTCGACAAGAAAGGCCACGGGCGGACCTTCAGAGGGACTGTGCTCGTACAGGAGTCCTGAGCTGCCATCCTCCCCCACAATGAACTGGAAACCAATAAAGAGAAGGCACAGCTCACATTACTCCACAAGGGCCAGAAGATGCTCAGACACATCAACTGAAAGCTCTAGTAGTAATTAAGAACATTTTGGTTTCAAAAGCAACCATCTTGGTCCTCAACACACAATGAAACAAAAACAAAATTGACAAAGTTTGTTTTTCAGCAGTTTGTGGAGGTGAGTTATACGACCCGGGGGTCGTTATATATAGGCGGCTAATCTTCACAATGAGTCAAATAATTACTTAAAATTTTTTAAATGACTGTTTCAGTTAATTGTTTAAATTATTGTGAAGATTAGCCACCTACAGGACGTCCCCCTATGAACGAACTGCATTAGGATACCATTTACAGGTATTAATGCAAAAGCATTCACTATCCCATGGAGCGAAGACGGCGGCATCTGTAACTACAAAAAAATGCTGAAGAAGTGCCCATTCTCCCATTGGCTGAGCAAAACGGCTCCTAGATAGCCACTGGCGGCCGCTTCACAAGAGCGAGTGCTCGGCCGCCGCTCTCGTGTCAGGCGTTGCCAGGGGGGTTGAGGAGGGGGGAGGGGCAGTTGTAACCTTGGCAGTAGCGAAACGTGGCTGTCCATGCGAGTACACTGCAGACAAACTAGGGGAGCGGAAGAACAACATTCATGCCTTCGCATTCACAGCTCATAAGAAGTGCTTGGGTGTCCTCAGAATTTTCTTGTACTAAATATGTTTGAATTAAAATCAGACACCTTATATACCATATTTAAGGTAGGTGAAGATATACAAGGTCCTTAACCCCTTAAAGGGATTGTCCGGTCAAATTTTGTATTCGAGAAAACAATTGAATATCATCGTTATTGCATCGAGATGCATCGTACGTGCAATATCTGAATTTTATATGCATCTCTGCATGAGTAATTGAATTTATACTGCTCCAATCGCACTCTAGCGTAAACGCTGTTTTCGGTGGCAACATTGGAGCTCTGACGTCACACAACACAACGCGAGCATTTCTGTCTCATCGTTTACCTGCAAGTGAACGCCTCGGCGTGCTTCGTTTTTGTTGTTGTGCTCGACTTGTTTCGTGGTTGGGTGAGTTTTTTTGTTGCGCGGTTGGGTGCCACAACCACCGGGCAGCACATGCGAGCCAAGACATGACGTTCCACACTTTTCCGCGAGACGTGCAGTGACGAGCAAAATGGATCGTCGCCGTGCGTAGGGACTGGGTTCCCGTCACGATCGAGATCCCGCTTATGCAGCAATCATCTCACAGAAGAGAGCTACGAGCTGAGTTCAGCGGACAGAAGGCTTGTAAGCTGAGGTGTGATGCTGTGCTAACGATATTAAACTACGTCCATGCACTCCTCGCCCAGATCGGATCAATCAATTTGTTTATGCAGCGAAACCGAAACCAACAGCTAGACCACCTGGAAACGACCCCAGAAGTTGTATTTAGCACGCGTGCAGCCAAATTCTGTTTGACCCGCATGTGCAAATAGAGTGTGGCTACGATTCACCAATCTCGTCCAAGTCAAGTGACGACATGCATTTGAACGATTCGCCGGTTGCCTTCGACCCGCGGTTATCGCCTCTGAGGGAAAGACCCGCAGCCTCATCACCAATCCAGTGGATCCGCCGATATGTGCACCCAGATACCGCTCCGTGTACCTAGTTGCCGCTTCAGGGACAAAGTCTGCGTCGTTTGCTTTGCAAGCGCTCCTGATTCAATCGGTGGCCGTCGCAGTTGTGTTTGCGCGAAACGGCATACGTTTACTCGAAGCTTATGGCTGTTTTCGAGTAATATTCTGTTAAAAGGCGTGACTTTTTTTCACACGCTTAGGAACTGCAATAGAAGAACCTTATTTCAGTAGGGTACAGCCTAGGACAGTGGTTATCAACCATCGATGTTTCGCGGACCCCTCGTAGATCGGCGGAGATGATGGAGCACCCCGTTCGTAGTGAGAGGAGAGAAAAGGTACAGGTTAAATATAATAATCAATTTAATAAATGGATATAACTAAGGGCTAGTGTGAGGCATACCTCTCTTATTGACGTTCACACGAAAAAGACTCGCACGAAAAACAAACATTTCGACCTGAAAAAAAAAAAAAAAGAAAGTTTTTATACCCGGGCTTGACTGATCAGGCAGGGCTTCGCGGACCCCTAGAACCCGAAAAGGCCTTCGCGGACCCCCATTTCTGAACCACTGGCCTAGGGGACTTATATTTTGAAACAAAATACAAGGCATCCATCGACCAACGCTTGTTATCCCGACCATCCGACAAACCATGGCGTTTTGTGACGTCACGCAGCAGCTACGGATGTCAGCCGTTGACAATGGCGAAATTCGGGGTGCAGTTTCGTACCTACGCTCATGAAAGGTTTAGTTAATAACGGGAGATCATATATCAAAATAAAAATGTTGTTTGTCTACATGAAGGCTCCCTCGACGTAACGAGTGCAAAAATTTAAGTACTTCCGGTTTTGACCGGACAATCCCTTTAACTGCCGATGACGAGATGTCTCGTCACATTGACTATGACCACAACCGGCGATGATAATATGACCCGTTTGAACACAGTATAGTAAATAGAAAACAATTTCATAAATTTTCTTTTTGGAAAAACATTAAGAACATTTTGCGGGTCGAGCAATAGACGTTTCGACTAGAAATTTCAATTTTAGTTTTTTATGATTTTTCTTTTATCTGTATATCTTCTGGTTACATATATAAAACAAATTGTTAAAAAATTCAGCCTAGAAATTACAAAAAAAAAGAACTTGAATGCCTTATCACGACTCACAAAAATGACGAAATTGGTCATTTTCGAGCTTGTGTCGCTCCAAACGTTTGCGTCAGCCACATTTGCTGACACTTTGACAAGGAGGAGTAAGCCTTCTTTCCAATGACTCCTTTCACAGTTTCGTACTTGCGTTGAAGAGGTACTCCGGCAATTTCTTCATGGTCCCCGATTTGCTTGAACTCGCCAAACAACATCACCATAATAGTATCCCAAATATTAGGTTAAAATAATTTTTTTTTTTTTTCACGAAGTTATTGAATTTACAATTTCAGTCCTTACCATGTTTTTCAAACTGAAAGTCTTTACTGGCAACAACGAAAACGTGCATCAGTGGAAGTGCAGGGGTTCACTCTTTGGACTGTAGAATTTGTTCCCAACTGATTCGAAGCAGATTCATGGTGTTAAATGAATGCTTTGGAAGCTCGCTCCAGGACCCGTGCTCCAGCACGGAACAAATGATTGGCATGTTCTATTTTTTAGACAGCTCGCTCGACTGGCAAGCTTGCCTTCCACTGACGTCACGGCACTGAAAAGTGCGGGTATTTTTGAATGTTGGTTTTTGCATAATTTTCATTTGCCGATTTCACAATAACTATTATGATTTTCGCGATACAAAATAGCATACCGAAAAGGGTAAAAGCCGGGGAGTCAGAAAAATTAGTTAGTTGAGGTAGCTCGAAAAATCGCTGGAGTACCCCTTTAAGAATAATATAAAAAAAATTAAAGCCGTTTACAATCCCCTGTAACGCCGAATTAGAGCGCAGCTCTTGAGGAGGAGGAGGGAAGGGTACTGAGGGGAGAAGGTGGAAAGTCTCCCACTACCAACATGGGTGTGGATCGACGTGTGCTAAACGCAAGTCGCAGAAAATGCACATCTTTAGTGAGAGTATCGCGTGTAGATTTGGCGGGAATTTAGCCGGGGCAATTTTTCCCCCTAACTTCAGCGGAGAATTTTTTCCACTAGATTTAGCGGGGGAAATCTTTTCCGCTAAATTTAGCGGGGAAATTTTTTCCGCTAAATTCAGTGGGGAAATTTTTTCTGGTAAATTCAGCGCGGAATTTTTTTCGCTAAGTTTAGCGGGGAAATTTCTTCCACTAGATTTAGCAAGAAATTTTTATTTTTTCCGCTAAATTTAGCGGAAAAATATTTTCCGCTATATTCAGCGGGGAAACTTTTTCCGCTAAATTCAGCGGGGAATATTTTGCGCTAAGTTTAGTGGGGAAATTTCTTTCACTAGTAAAATGATACGTGACGTCACTGATGAAGTCATCGTCATCGTTTTCAGCATCGTCATCGTCCCTGATGACGTCATCAATGATGTCACCAGTGATGTCACCAGTGACGACACCAGTGACGTCACGCGTCCCATAATGCACCAAGCGGTTAAGGCGACGGCAACGCCACTCAAGCCGGAAACAGGCACCTAAGAGCTGTGCTCCAAAAACATTTTCCTGCATCTTGATGAGGCCCCAAGTGGCCTTTCTAAAACCCTGTGACGCAAAATACGCCACTGCCATTGGCTGCTGCCCTGATGCACCGTGCAGTGAAGATAGCGCATTGTTTGCGGTCGCATCGCAGGTTGTCTTAAACAAAGAACTAAGTTTTCTGTTTGCCTATCGAGAGTTTTTCATGAATAGTTGTGTTGAAAAACACAACTTTTGATTCTGGAAAAGCCGGTCACTGCACCCGTACAAAGGAAAGCGCAAGCAAAAGCGCAGAATTGCAACGAAGGCGACAGACCCACCCGTGGCCCTACCACTACAGCCGAATGGCAACGTGCCTTCGAGCTCTTCGAGCACCGCAAGCACATAGCAACGAGCGCTTTGGAGCTCATCAGCAATGTGTCGAACTTCGTGAAAGCTTCGGGAAAGAAGCCTGCGCAGAGTACCATATTTACTAGCATAATGAACACACTTTTTTTCCCGAAAAATTGACATATATTTCGGGGGTGCGTTCATTACATGGGGCAAGATTTTCGCAATTACACACTTCGCGCAAATGTCATATTAGGTGCCATTATGACACGGCAAGGGCTGTGGCACGTCTCAAGTGATGGAGGCGCACCCACAGCTGGTCGGGGGCGCGCCACAATAACTGTGCTTTATAAATTGCAAACCCCTTTTTAGGGCGCTTTTGGGGTGCCTTTTGCCGAAGGTAAAGCGCCCTACGAAGCTCACTCAGCACAAAAAGCAACACGACCGTTCTTAACCGTTCTTAGGCGATATATATTGCTAGTATCCGGCGGGCACGCTCAGGTATAATCCACGACATATGTTGCAAGTATTCGGCAGGCACGCTCAGGTATAATCCGCGACTATGCGTATAAGAACTCGTACGAAGTCCAACCCCGGACCGCCGAAGCCCGCTCGCATGGATGCATGAATCAAGTTTCGTTCACGGAGGCAAGAACTTGTATGAAGTCCAACCGCCGACCCCAGAAGCCCTCTCGCATGAATCAAATTTCATTCACAGAAAGGCTACCAGACACTCTCAGCCTCCAGCGTGCACCTTACTGTGCCGTTCTGCTGTGAATTAAATAAATGCATTTACCCGGAGTATCTCAAATTAGGCCTAACCCCTTTCACAATTTCACTGTCCAAAGCGGACCACAGGCGACCGCTTGTTTGTTGACATCAATGCATCCGATAGGCGAAGAATGTCTGGAGCTCGGCAATTCGTCGACCCAAGCTTCGTCAAGTGTGCGCAACACTTGGTTTCGTGGTTGATCATTTCCGTAACTACCGCAACTATGCACTTGCGGCCATTACGAGAGCAGCCTGCCTTGGCTTGACCGCTTGCGGCAAAAGAAAACTAGCTTGGTGGCTTGCTAAATTGGACGCAATTCGAGACTCACAGATCCAAAAATTGGAGGTACGTTGATTACGGAAAGGAAAAAAAAAATTGACCGCATTTTCACGTGGCAAATGATGTTGATTGGGGCTAAGCTCTGGTGGTGCTTGTCTGCGTAGACGCCGAGCCGCAGCATGCCGAGCCTTTTGTTCGTTTTCATCCATGTCAGAAAGAAAATGTGTGGTATGGAACGTGGTTATATATGTACGCATTTGAGCATTTGACTGCAGCGTCCTCTCGTCTATAAACGTTGAGCCAATGCATGCAAAGTTTGACGCGATTATATACGCATTGGACCGCAGCGCCCTCTCCTGTATAGACGTTGAGTGGCTACATGCAACGTTTCATCCATGACATCCCCAGCTCTCGAGCTACTACCACATCTCAGAGCCCCCTACTCGTCCCACAGTCGTGACCGAGTGGTTAAGGCGATAGACTAGAAATCCATTGGGGTCTCCCCGCACAGGTTCAAATCCTGTCGACTGCGCAAACATTTTTTTTCCATCGTGTTTTTTTTTGTTTTTGTTTTTTCCCTACATGAGCACGTGAACATGTGAGCTCACGAGCACGAGCACCAGCAAGATCGATGTGAGCACGGACGCCAGACGGACAAGGCTAGACCCTTAGGAGCTTCGCCCCTAAAAAAAAGTCGAAATATTGATGCCCGCTGTGGGGGGTGTGTTTATTACGCGAGTGCGTTTATTATGCGAGTAAATACGGTATGTCTGACACGACAGACGGGAAAGCGCACCTGCACCGTCTTGTCGCACCAACGGTTGGCTGCATTCACTCCGTCGTGGCCGCCAACGAGCATCTGCGTGGGACAAGCCACCTCGTAGGGATCCGTGCCCTCCAGCCTCTGGTCCAGGCACACCACAAAGATGGCCCGCTTGATCGCTTCCACCGACGCCACATTCTTGGGATCTGTGGTGCACGAACACCGAACATTCCGTATGCTCGTCTCAACAGAAATCGGGAGAAAGGCTGTCACACTTCCATATTTCTCGCAAGATAGGGGATTCAACTGATGTTGGCCGGAAGGATCGGTGGTCGAGTATGTTTGCGCACTGCAGCTAGGTGCAGGTAAAGCAAAGCTCATGCTGTAGAAACCAAGAATTCTGAGCTCAACCGTCATGCCCACCCGTTTCAGTCTGGATGAGCATCGTACCAGCGTGTGCTTGTGTATCACTACTGCATAATGCCCGTTAAAGACACCAGGCTAGCAGTGGTACTGCGGCAGTAAAATTTCGCATCTACGGCCGAGACACCAGACGCCCGGTGGGGCTGGCTAATTTCCCGCTGTCTAAATTTATTCATATGATCTGAGGTACAAAATAAAAGTAATAGGATTAAATTAAGTTTAGTGCAAAAATGCAGTAAAAATATGATGGGTCGAGGATTAACAAAAACGATTTGTTAACACAATTCCAAATGAATCAACCACACTAAAGATGTGGGAAGGCGGTTCAATTCGAATGACGTTTTGGGGATGCAGGAGTCCATGTGGGCATTAGTGTAGCAGGAATGAATTCCGACTTTCAACATATGGTCAACGCGATGGGAGGTATGTGTACGGGGGGAGGAAGAAGAAGGTAATCTTCTACAGTACGGTTAGTGTAATAAATTTTAAGAAAAGGACATAAACGAGATATTTTGTGATGCAACAGAAGAGAAAGAGAAAGGTTAGCTTTCGTGGATGTGACACTGGCTGTACGGCGATAACTGGAGAAAATAAAACGAGCCCCGCAACTCTGGACAGCCTCAAGGTTAGACAGGAGCGTGTTGTGACCAGGTTACCAGATTCATGCAGCGTTAATTAAAGTAATTGAAAAAACACGAGGGTCAATGCAAAATTTTGTTTTAAGTATCCGAGCATAGAGTTGGCGTCAGCAATTATATAATCAGTATGAGTTTGCCACGACATATTAAAGGTAATGTGACGACCTCTGAAACGACGTCTAGGACGATCCAAGGACGACCTCAAGGACAACTTCTACAACCGACATCGAGGACGATGCCTAGAGGACAACGTCGAGGACGACTTCAAGGACGACACCTAGGACGACCTCAAGGACTTCTAGGACGACCTCGAGGACGACTTCTAGGACGACCTCAAGGACAACCTCTAGGTCAACCTTGAGGACGGTGCCTAGTGATGATAACAAGGGATCAGGGCCTCATTATCTAATAATGCCAAGGAAGGCTGACTCACACTGGTTGCCCCATCTTTTTATTTTTATTTATTCATACTTGCCACAACCAATGAGGAGTTTTCTGTCGACATGTGAGGACGCATTTTTTTCCAGACCCTAGCGTATAACAGCTTCGCTGTAAAAACCATAAGCTATTTATAGCACGAGGGCTCACTCTGGCAGAGTCTCTGGAAGGCCTCCGCCCAGACGTCCCTGTGCTCTGTGGTGAGAACACCGACACCAGGGCCCGGGCTCTTGGACATCTCCACCACTTGGAGCAGCTGGGCAAACAGCTGGTGCTCGTCGTATGGAGTTCCCCTGGCATCGTACGCATTGAGCGCGAAGAACTGTGTGTTTAACAGAATGTCACCGAAGCTGGTTCACAGACTTGCATTTGACTGCACTCAAATGCGCTGCATTTCCTTCTCTAACCTCTTACGACGAGAAAACACGAGAGCCGTTTAAGAGAGGGAGCGACTCAAAAAAAGAAAAGAACATTAGCAATTCAATGGAGCACTCCTCCCGCGCAGATTGGTCGCAAGAGCGCCCGCATTGCGTCGTCGCGTGGCTTGGGGGAAAGCAGGCAGATGGGCGGAGACGTCCGCAGACGATCAATGTTTTCGTCGCCTTCTCCAGGCTCGCATTGCGAACGCAGTCCGTGAGCCACGCGACCCCGATCAAGCGGTTGGAAACACTCCAAAATCTAGGCAGCGGTGGGCTAAGGGCCCCGTCAGATGCTCCTCCTCCGGCACACGCCCGTTACCTTCCGCCGAGTTCTGGCAGTGCATGCAACAAAGTGCTATCAAGGGCGGAAGGCTTGCGCCGAAAGCAGAGTATCTACCGGGTTCTTAACCTCCCACCAACTATGCGGAGCGGAAGTTTGTCTGCTTCTTGCGCGGTTGTGGTGACGTCGGAACGATGCCGAGCTCTGATTGGCTTTGAATGAAAGGATAGTGAGCAGACCTCAAAGCTAGATGCCTCGAGGTCTACCCACTATATTTTTCAATTGGTCAATAAGAGCTCGGCGTTCTGACATCATCGCAAACCCTGAGCAAGAAGCGGACAAACTTGCGCTCCGCATAGGCATGTTAAAGGACGCACTGGCATACTGAGGCCATCTGGGAAGCAAAGGGATGGTAGGAACATGCGTGCTAGCTCCAGGCCTCGGAAACGAGCCTAGATTTTGTTGGCCTCAGTGAACTGCAGCAACATAGACTGAGCCCCAAAATGTGTCTTTTACGTCTATAGTGAAGTATACTCTGCCCTTCTTTTATTTCTGTTTCAAAAAACAACAAAAACAAAACAAAATAAAAGAGAAAGGTGACACGCATACTACTCCAAAAACATTGCTCCGAAAGAAATGGCAGATTTTTTGCCCCGGTTGAACTAAAGTGATATCGTTGTGCAGCATTGCAAATGTATGTACAAGGGGGGATGTTGAGAAAACATTCTCTCAAATCTGACATGTCCAAAAACCAGAAAGGACTACGATGAATAAAAAGATGCTGCGCAGGAGGAAGAATACCGTATTTGCACGAATATAACGCGAGTTTTTTTTATAGAAATTACGTGCTCCAAAACGCACCTCGCGTTATATTCGAAATCGAGTTCAGCCACGAGGCGTGCGAGTCTGGAGAAAGCCATCCCTCCAGCTCAATGCAAAATATCCAGTGGGAAAAGAAGTGGGCGTGTGGAAAGGAATTTTATTAGCTATTGGGCCACGTGAAGGGGCGAATAGAAAATATAAAAAAGCATTTTTATTGCTTTTGTGTTTGTAGAATGCGCGCACGCCGCAGGAACTCAGCGCGTGTGTGCGCCATGCAGGAATCAACGAGCTTGAGTCTTACCTTAGAGTGGTAAACAGGAACCCACTGCCTGCAGCGGAAATGGTACCCCCCCGGTTGCTGCCATCTTGCCTGTTTGCCACATTAGTGATCACGTGACGTTAAGATGGCTGCGCCCAAAGGTGGGCCAGATCAGATTGGCCAGATCGCAGTCAGCAGATGGGCGCTCTGGTACTGTGTTTGAATCTTACTCGAACAGTGCCGAGTTATTTCGGCGGATCAAGTCACGTGACAAGACAGATGCAGCAATGCTGGACGCGGGTAGGTTTTTTGAACGCAACGGGTGCGAGAACTTCACCCAGGCGTGAGATAGAAGCTGCGTTCGATTTACTTGCACCTACTGCACCGGTGCAGAAAAGTGTGGGGCAGTGTACTTTCGGTCGTATCTCAATACATATACCGAAAGTAGACTGCCCTACACTTTTCAGCCCCGGCGCAGGAAGTGCAAGTAAATCGAACGCAGCTTTTATCTCACTCCTGGGTGAAGTTCTTGTACCCGTTGCGTTCGAAAACCTACCTGCGTCCAGCGTTGCTGCATCTGTCTTGTCACGTGACTTGATCCGCCGCAATAACTTGGCGCCATTTGAGTAAGATTCGAACACAGCCCCAAAGTGCCCATCTGCTGACCGCAATCTGGCCAATCTGATCTAGCTCACCTCTGGGCGCAACCATCTTAACGTCACGTGATCACTAATGTGGCAAACAGGCAAGATGACGGCAACCGGGGGGGGGTGCCATTTTTGACCGCTGGTTTACCGCTCTAAGTTTACTCAAGCTCGTTGGCGGGAATGCGGGCACTGGCCAATTTGAGCCAAGCCAAGCCGGGCCAAGTCACCACAAGCCAAGCCAAGACCACCAATCGCGTTTACGCAATCATGCAACACGAGGCATTTGCTTATGCAGAGGGACCAGAACAAGAAGTGGGATCGTGTATCAGATTCAGCAGTCTTTTTTCTGCCTGCGCATTGTTTAGTTTCTGCTCCAGAGTGATCTGGTGTTTGTGTGTTGGTGCTTCTGCTTCATGCCTTGTTTGGATTGTGGGCTGCCGAGGAGCTCGCACGAAAGGAAAAGGAACTACCAGACAAGCAGGTGCCCTGCTGCTGCTTATCTGCGTAGTCGCCAAGTGGATTGTAAACGGAAGGACCTGAGCAGTGAAGATGAGTGCAGTCAAAACATAAACTGATATTTCTTCCATTTGCATTGACTTTTCACACCTGCTACGCCCCCGAGCGCAAGAAATTGACGCGGCCTCGGTTCGCGTTATAATAGTACATAATAATATTTTTTTTTCTTTTTGAGGGCATCAAAATATGCCCTCGTGTTATATTCGTGGTCGCATTATATTCGTGCAAATACGGTACGTAAGCGACGAGGATTATAAAATATTGGAAAGCCCAGGGAAGCACTTTTACCATGTTCCAATGCTACTTTTTGTCTACTTAATGACTCAATTGTGAAAAAATATGATGATTCCATATACTGAAAGAGATCAATACTCTCTATTGTTAATTATAGTCTAAGTTGGCCATAACAAACCTTGACAGTCACCGAGATTTAGTCTGCCGTAAAGGAGTATGCTGTATGCAGATATGAAGTTAAACCAATGGTACAGGTAGGAAAACTATGTGATCTTCAAAAAGCAGAACTAGTATGTTGTATCCAAATGTCTTTTGTAACCAGGTCTGTTTAACAAGACCCCCCCCCCTTATACTGTAGTTATATATTTGTAAATATAATCAAAAAAAAAAAAATTCTAGTATACTTATTTTTAAAAACCCAGTTTCTTCCTGATTATCAGCTTGGAACAAAGTCCCCAATTTTTACCCCTTTCCCCCCTACCCCCCCCCCCCCCCCCCCCGATTTTCGGAAAATATAAAACCCGAAAACGAAGAATCCTACATATAAACAATGAATGGGCATTGGATGCACCTGGTTGTTGTGGATAACAAGCAGATGCTTTGGGGGATTGCTGCTGAGCAGGTAGGTGTCAAGCTTGTCGCAGACCGGATGGGGCACACGGCAGGTGCTGAAGATTTTCTGGTACTGGGTCATGTCCAGAGGGCTTGACCCCATCATATCAGGCTTGAGGAGTTGCCTGTCCAAAGTCAATTACAGCATTAGGAGAACTTGGAAAGTCTTTGGGATGTTCACCCATGCAGTGAGAAGATTCAGTGTCTTGCAGGGTTAAGAAAGCAAGTTGGAGAAAGACAAGCACAAAAACAATACTGTAAAATCCCATAAGGGCACCCACCCAAAATGGAGAGACGAATGGTAAAAAGTGAGGTAGGTTATCTTTGGGGATGAGACAGCAAAACTTTATCAAAAACTGATGAAAAACACAGGGGCACCCACTACAAACCACGTGACACGGGAACTGATAGTGCAGATCATGGACACGGCAAATTTCCCCGTTTCACGATATAATAAACGTGAGGTAATTCGCTGCAAACTCCTATGTCATGGGAAAGGATACCGCAGACTGCAAAGGCAGCAGACTGTGTCTCACAGTGCAATAAACATGCGGGAACCAGCTACAAACTTGTATGCCACGGGAACTGATATTGAATGTGCGATCATGAGTAAAAAATGTGGGAACTTGCTACGAACTTGCATGTCACAGGAACCGATATTGCGCGCACAGGTTGCCAACAAAAACGTGGAAGCCCACTATAAACTCACTTGTCACATGCATGGGTGGTACCGCAGATCGTGCAGCGGACATGATTCCCATCGGACATTGTGTGATGTTTAAAGGGATCATGAAACGCTTTTCCAACTTTTTCCTGTTTAGCTCTCCTCAACTCATAAATCGCACACTCTACCAAGCAGTTCAAGAAGACGGAAAGGCGAGAGTCCCCTCTTGCTCGGACTGTCGTTTGTGTACCCGGACACAGCCATTCTCCCCCTAGAAGATTAGCCTGTCGCTCAAAATTCAGACAAAAGTTGCTTTCCCCACCCCGTTCACCCTGCAACTGACAGTGCTGTGGAAGCTATGTGCTCGTTTGGCCAGCCACACTTTTTGCCACGTGATCAGGCTCTCTCGCGCATACCCATGCGCAGAGAATGAGGTCAGGTGATGAAAAAGAGGTGGCTGATTGGTCCGGCAAGCGCGCACATCCACCACAATGTCAGCTTAGGGGTGAAGGGAATAAGTGAGGTCCAGTGTCGTGTGAAGTGCATTTGGACCCGGTGACGTGCTACCTAGAATTCTTTCGATCAAATGACTTCCAGAGAGACATGCCAAACGCAAGATTACAGCCGACCTTAACGCAATTTAATGTTAAGGACTTACCGGTCAATCAGAGTTTTGAAGTCTAGAGCTCCTGCCATCAACAAGGCTGCGTGTCTGCAAGTTAAAAATATTTTATAAGCATCTCCCACGTAGAGGCAGTGATGAATATGCCAGAGGAGAATGCAGACAAATATGCAAGTACCAAGTTTAGCAGTGTAGTTTATCCTTACAAAATATGTATACCGGGGGTCTCCAAACCCCGCCCCCGACCCACGGCCTTCCGACCGGCCCGCGGCTGGCTGCTGTCGGCGCAAAAATAAACGCGTGCGAAAAAAAAGAAAAACTAAGCCGCTACGCGCACCAAACATGCACACAAAGTTATCAGAAAAATTACCACTATTTATTCTGTTCTTTAGTTTACATTTTATATTCATATTCCAGCCCTCGAGACTGCGACCAACCCGCAATACGGCCCCTCAGCCAAAATGTTTGGACACCCCTGACCTATATGGTCATAGTTATCTGGAATGCAGACAGCTTAACAACACTGAAGATTGTGACCTAGGTGGTTTTCGTGGTTTCAATGAACTCAAAGCAACCTTACAACAGTGTACATCATATGTGCTAGAGCCAAAGCATCTCTGAATTTTCATAATTTCATTTTTACTTTCCTGCACATTTGTTGTTAAATTTGTTTTCTTTGTATACTCTTCGTATGATACATATGCACGTTGTGCATATATTCTGTACATACTGTATATTATTATTGCATTTCCGCATTTTCGTTTCTATTTTTTTCAATTTCATTCGTTTTGTTTTATAAATGTGGTTCCTTTTGTCAATGTGAGACCCGGTGTACCCCACAAAATGCATTACAGCTGTCTGTGGGCACTCCAATAAAAATGAAGCATTACTATTATTATTATTAGTACCGTAATATCCCGAGTCATCGCCCATCCCCGAGCCATCGCCCACCCCATTTTTTGGGCCAATATCGATTTCCGAAAAAACACCGAGTCATCGCCCACCCCTTCAAATACCCCAGCGCAGACTCAGCGATCCGTGAACACTCATGCTACCCGAATGACGCGGCCGCGGACCTTACAGTTGGAGGACGTCCGTGACAAAGTAAAACGAAGGAGGGAAAGACACTTCTTTTTGTTTACGCATTTCCTCCGTGAGCGACCCTGAAGTGGTTGTGTATCCGTGCAAAAAGAAAACGATGGAGATAACAAAATAAGAGTTTGTTAATGTAACCGCGGAGTGTTAGGTCAGTCTGTCTCCGCCGAAGTAAGGTCACCGCGAACCCGCTCCTTCTTCCCGCCCGTCGCGACCGCGGTTGTGCAATATTTTAGGCAAAGCCAACGCGTAAATAAAGCTTTGCTGGAACGTAGACGTTTGCAGAGCGTCCCAACCGTGCATTGATAGCCCGCCGTGCACCGACGCACGTATGTACGCACCAAACAAGAAAGTTGCGCAAAAGCTTGTAATTGACAAGGCGCCCGACTTGGCCCGACGCCAAAGTATTTGCCAACACGACCGCCGGCTTTCCCGCTTTCCCAGCATTGGTCTTGGTCGCTTCTTTGGTCTGCTCGCTCGCTCGCTCGCTCGTTGCGCCTGGTTGGTTTTTCCATTTTCTTGTAGACTTTTCTTTCTTTTTTTACTAACTAGGAGAACATAGTGGTGACATTCTTTCGCGGAACAAACGTTCGCGCTATATGCAGATCGGCGGTGTTTCTAGCGCGTATGCAAGCAACGGACTTCGCTATAGTAAAATATTCTTTATTGAGCATTTTTTTCTATAAAACAATGAAACTAAATCGAGTTTTGAGTTTGATGTATCTCTTGTGCATCAGCGCTAGATACGCAGAAAAAAATAGGTGTTTTTTTCCGCTTTTTTTTAATTGTTTGTGCTCACCCACCGAGACATGGCCCACCCCACTTTTTTATGAATTTCAGGCGGTAGGGGGGTGGGCGATGACTCGGGATATTACGGTAGTAGCAGTATCAAAGGCACGCAGAAAAGAGCCAGTACTTGAGCTGGTCTTCCTTGGTCTGGAATGTTTGGCGTCCAAAGGCCATCCCCGGATTGGAGTACACCACCACGGGCATCCGGTATTTCAGGTAGGCATTCTCCAACCACCAGTCTGAAAGCTGAGAGGTATTTCACCGACAGAACACCTAACACCGCTGCATGCTCGGTCGGAGAAAGTCCCACAAGGTTTAGGAGAAGCTAGAGAATTCATAAATATAGCAAGCTGCAACATTACAATCATGTCTTGCTACCCCAATAATATGAATCCATACAGACTACATAACTGGGGACGAGCCAGGCAAATATGTGCATTTTTGTCTCATTGTTATGGACAACTCATTACGGCGCCTCTTGGAGGAGAATGGAGGTGTCCGTTTTAACAAGATTCACGGTCATATGAAGAGTATGTTGTTACTAAAAATAAGGGCTATGCACCAATTAAGAAATGTTTTATCAGTTAATTGGTGACCTTTCATTGACTACTTAAAGGGGCGATGCAACAATTTTTGTATTTTGCGCAAATACCGCTTAAAATGGATCCCCGACGTTAATGCCCTATGAAACACGCATTCGTCTTTCACCCCACGCAATAGAAGTTCCAGAAAAAAATTTAAAAAAAACGAGCACCGTTCGCCCTCTCAACTCGCAGCGAGAACAAGCGGCCACGTGATCTCGAGCCGATTATATGCTGCCAATGTTGATCATAACCACGCGTTGGGGTTGGCAAAGCATAGGACGCGCGCTGAGTTCCAGACAATGTTATGGCTCGGCTATCGTCGTCGTTGCAGCAATTGCACACGGGCCACTACCTGAATGCATGTCGAGGCATCGATTGTCACGAGCCCCGATCGAATGCGTACGCAGTCTTCACGTCCAAGCAGCATTTGAATATCGTCACCGCAAAGCTCCATGACGCATTCCTGGGGATCGTACTGTTGCCATTGTCCCCACAGCTCCGTCATCAAATTTCGCGAAGGAGCAAAAGGCGGCTTTGAAAGGAGAGACTGAAAGAAAAGCTCCGCTTTCATCCTTTGAATTCTGCTATGACGAAGAAGCTTCTTAATCAGTGGTGTTGCGTTAGAGTATTCTGGGGTCCCACTAATGCCAGGAAGCTGGTGTAAAGTAAGAAATATTCCTATCAAATGTCATTGCACAGCCCCTTTATAAGTTAGTCTAATATGGAGCCTGATGAAATTCAGAGTATTTAAAAATGACAGATATATGACACCATTCATTAGATGGACACTAGTTTTGGAAATTTTCTAGCCTTACCAATTTTATTGCACTCATTGGTATGTTTGGTGATGATGGCAGAAGCAGAGGACTGCAGCTTTTTACTGACATCATGCAGGCTGCAAGCCACTTAAGGCTCTTTAGCAATTAAAAAGTGTGAGATATGTTTTATTTTTTTTTTGCTATAGATTCCAATAGCGGGCAGATGAGCAGAAAACATTTCCAGTTGCATACAACATGGCATTCTGAAGAAGCAGAGTCTCGGCAATGACTAAATTCTTGATGTCAAGCTTGACAGTGACGAAGCCGGTGGTGCCCATGGTAATCCCTCTGAAGGATGGACTTTTGACTCGCTACATTGGATAAAATATTAGATCGAAATTAATGCTTTCATTGATTCATTTGTCAGTGAATGAATTAAGTTCAGAGCCTGAAGAAGTAATATAATGCTATCTTTTCTTTTTCATCAAGACACCACATACAGAACCTTTCAAAACCATACATGTTCACTTCTTTCTTTTTTTTTTTTTTTCACAAAGACGATCCTGAGATGGTTCAAAAAAAGGAGGAGCTGGCATATGCAGCCCATTTGATTTCGAGTAATTATCTGGCCATGATATACAGTGAAACCCGTTTAGAACGAACCCACATACAGCGAATTATTGTCGATATCAAACTCACGAAAAATTTAAATCAAAATGTATGTAAAAAGTACTTCTTATAACGAACAACATATTGGCTATATCGACCTTTTTTCCCCTGGGAAAGCTTCCAAAAACGTGCAAACAATCGTGTTTCAGCCAATGCCTTCACCCGAAAAAGTGTAGGAAAGAAAAAAAATTCCAAAAGCTCGAGCTGCAAACAAAAATAATCGAAAAAAAGCGATTTTGAAGGGGCACACAAAAAAAAATCTTTTAAGTGCAAAGCGGTTGCTTACGAAGAAAAGCAATTAAAAACGGAGATAAGCTAAAAAAAGTCTTTCTAGCGCGTTGTTACAAGGCGGAAGCGAAGAGATGAGAAAGAAAGAGAAGTTCTCGCCTCCTCTCCCTTCGCGCCCTGTTTCACCTAAAGTCACTTTAGTTTGACCTAGGGGGCCTTCATGTCCCGCCGAAGAGAACTTGAAGTCACTCTAGTTTGACCCTCCTCACCTTCGACGTTCACTTGGGGCTTGACACGCCTAGGGTGCCTTCATGTGTGCTTCACATAGAGTGATGCCAACTGCCTGCTTCCCTTTCCCCTACCGCCATTTTGTTCCTTGTTGTTTCCCCGTGCGCCGGAAAGTGGCCTTTGTGTTCATTGGTCCCCCCATCCGAGGGAGGTAATGCTAATCCTCCCTCAATGGGTTCCACAACACTGCTCCGAACTTGTGAGATAAGGTGCTCGTTTCCGGGAGGGTTATAAGCCCCACGGATTATCGCTGAGACCAAAATGGCTGCTGGTTTGTCGGCGAGTGGTATTATAAAGGGTAGCACCACCCTAGCAAAGTGCACATGAAGACTCCCTAGACACGCCATGCCCCAAGAGGCAATAAACCTATCACATTTCAGATTCCATAGCATTGTCACATGCCGTTGAAAGCGTCAACCACAGGCAAAGCTCTCTCTCTCTCCCTCCCTCCTTTCTTCTCGTTAATTTGGTCGTCGTTTGTTGTCGTCTTTCTTGTCCCCATTGCACTTTCTGTTCACTGTGCGGGCCAGCTAGTTCGCGCCCGAAATGACGACGAAGCAGCAGCAGGCTCTGCCACTTTCCGACAAGGTCGACATCATCAGTCGTGTGGAGCACGGCGAAAAGAAATCGGACGTTGCCGCCGCCTACAAGATCCCCAGAAGTATGCCGAGTACAATTCTTAGAAACAAGTCTGCCATCCGAGACAAGGCCCGTGAACAGCCAAACGTGGACAGCAGGCGTATCCACAAGCCGGCGTACGACAAGGTGGAAAAAGCGCTGTACCAATGGTTTTTGGACATTCGTGCACGGAAGGTCTCCGGACCGATGTTGCAAAGCAAGGCTAGAGATTTTGCATCCCTCCTGAACGTTGAGGGCTTCACCGCTAGATCTGGGTGGCTGCAGCCATTTAAAGATCAATATTTAATCGTCGGGAAAGTCGTAGCTGGGTTGTGTAAATGGGTTTCGCTCTATCAAACTACTTGCTATATCGAACTGATCGTAGCGTTTCCTGCTGTTCGTTATAAACGGGTTTCACTGCATAACTTGCCATTAAGAAATCTGAATTTTAGAAAGAGCAGAAACCTCCCAAAAGTACCACTGCTCAAAATCTATGGGAAAAAAAAATATATATATTTTTTTTTTATGATGCCTATTTCTTTTTTTTTTTTTTAACTACTCAGAAAAAGGATGTACAGTTGAACCTCGATTTAGCGAAGTCACTGGGACCTCCTAATTATTTCGTTAAATCGGAAACTTCGTAAAGTCGAGAAAGACATTCTTCGGGATAGGCTGCGCGGGAAATCCAAATTCGTTCGTTAAATCGGGAAACTCGTAAAATCGGATTTCGTTAAATTGAGGTTCAACTGTATAAATAATATGCATATTTTACTTACCCAGTTTTCTGAGGATGCAGCCTTGGCCTCTAGCACTTTATACAGTTTTGTTCCAGTACTATCTGGCCTTGAAAATTCGCTGACAACCTAAGGAGGGTAGCGGAAAATTAGGAATTTGCTTTTTAACAGGTCATGCGCTTGTCACTGGCAGGTTAAAACATGAGGCACCTTTTAGGTGCCTTACCTTCTGCCGATGAACCTTGATCACAAAGCTGATGCCCAACCACAATGCGCCCCCGAAAACTAGTTGAGTTTTTTTCACTCGAAAAATATTCTATGCGTTGCCGAATGCTCAGTCTCCTCCCAAATGTAGTGCCAGCAATCCAGATAATATACCTGAGTTTCCGAACTAACCATTATCTTATTTAAAAGTTATACGCGATTTTCTGAGCCTTTCAATGGGAAAATGAAGCCATCATTTTACCACAAAATATTTTCAAAAATCACTTTCACACGATTTTCTGAACCTTTCAGTGGGAAAATGGGGCCACCATTTTCCCACAAAATATTTTCAAAAATCGTTTTTGGGTGATTCCATGTCAGTTCATGCAATGATGGTCCGGGTCATAATGTAGATCTTTCTGTTAAAAATATATATGAAAGTCATGTTCTTGGGAGGAACATTGAGCTATATATGAACGCCGTAACATTTTTTTTTGCTAAGATATAAAATAGAGACGTTTGAGGCGTGGAAATTGAGGGGAGGAAGTGGCCGAGTGGGCTAACGCGTCTCAGCTCGGAGCGTGGAGCAAAAGCTTGCGCTGGGAACCTCCTGGGTTCGAACCCCGCCGCCCCCGCCCGTTTCGATCTGGATGAGTTTCGTACCGGCACGTGTTCGTGTGATCACTACTGCGTGATGCACGTTAAAAATCCCAGGTTAGCGGTTGTACCGCACTGGCTAAATTTCTCATCTACAGCTAAGAGACCGATTACCCGTTGAGGCGCATCTCCATCAAGGCTGTATAAACATAAAGAGCAAGCCAATTTTTTTGCGTGGAAATTGAGAAGATTTACGATGCTACTTTGCACAGTCGTCTTTTCCTCATCAAAGCTTTCACGTCACCATCACTTTTTCAATACATTTTTCAGAAGATATAAAACACATAGGTACACAAAAAAATAATAAAAGTATCGATAAAATATTTCTATGCAAACAAAAAAAATCAAACATGGCATAAAAACACATTTTAGAGACGTCACAATTTTTCTGCAAATAAACCATCTTTCATAATACTTCACAAAATGCCCATCTTTAAGTATTCTTCACAAATATGTAAAAATTACATGGCCACCCTTAATTGTCTTTTTGTTATTAAGGCAGAAATGCAGCTGATTTTTCCAAATGTGGCAAGATTGGGCGTCAATATTTAAAAAACTCCATCTTAATTTTTTTTTTTTTTTTTTTTTTAAGCTCCTTTTGGCATTTTGCAGTGACTTGAACTAACCTCTGATGGCAAAACTTTGAGTAACATATGACCTCTAAATGGGAAAAGCTACGATAAACCTTCACTCGGAGCAAGCCGACGTCTTCGTCATAGCAGCTTTGCTGCACAGCACCAAACATTTTGAGCGCTAGTTATGGCATGTATTTTATATTTTTAATATTCTTTTTTTCAAAAGGGGTGAGTATAACTGATGCAAAAAGGGACTTTGAGCTGGAATACAATTAATTAGCTTACAATTCACAAAAACAAAACGGCCCCACTCTGCAAATTCGCTAACCACAGTTGCGCAAGTGGCCATGTATACATCCAGCTTTTCCAACCGCACTCAACAAAGTGTGGTTGGAAAAGCTACTGGCTCAACAAACAGTGAACGAATCTGACCTTTTATGCCAGCATTGCTACAAATACGTCAAGAATGAGATTGCTTCTCCTCACAACCGAGACTACATCAAATTCTTCTTTCCGGGACTCTGATGAAGTTCTGGCTGAAGTCAGTCAAGAATTGTCTGCTGCTAGTCCGTCGGTAACCCCATTAAAACCACGTAAAACCATTAAAAAAAAGGCGTGAAGCGTATTTGAAGAAAAAACAAGCTCAAGTGAGTTTTTCAATTAGAAGAAAGCTGTCAAGCGTTTATGACGTGAAAACTAGCGAAGACAGTTGTAAGCACTGCACGGATTGGTCTGACGCGTTACGCGAAGCGCTGAAGGCATGCAGTTCCTACCAGGAACACAAGCGATTATACACGCTACTGCCACCAAGCACCTCAAAGAAAGAAACACTGCGTCTGGTGCCTGAAGCGACTGCCAACATGGTTATGGTCAAACAAGAAAATTGAAGCGTAAAGGTGGTGTATGGGCAACCCCTGATCCCTACATGGGGAAAAAGCCGAATGCCAAAGAGTGGAGGGTAGCACTTGAGTACTACACACGCGACAACCTCGCATGCTCTGTTCAAAGCCCCAACAAAAAGGTTTATTATAACAACAAGACCAAAGTTGTAAAAAGGTTTATGACCCGCTCTATTAAGGAACCTTACAAGCTGTTTAGGAAGGACCATCCTCATCGAGAACTAGGCATCTCCAAATTTTATTCCCTACGACCAAAATGGGTAAAAAACAGTCCCGAGCACAAGGTGTGCGAATGCATATGTTGCGTCAATTTTCAGTTGCTTTTAATGGCAATAATAATTGCCTCAAAGAGGACATTTACTGAAGAGGACCTCAAACACATCATCCTCTGCAGCAATCCCCAGAACGATTGCTTCCTGCACCGTTGCAAAAGGTGCCCAAAAATGCAGAGCATCTAGCTGCAGTCGCTCCATCTCGACGAAGACAAAGAGATCTGTTTCACGTAATGGGACGCCAGCGAACTCGTCAAAAAAGGTTATCTACACTTCCGCCTTTCTGCGGAATTTGGAGTCATGAAGCAAGAAGTGTATGAAATATTCTTACATCCGTGACCTCAACGAAGCCTGACACGTGACACAAGAACCGCCTTACAAACTAAGACGGTGATGTTCCACTTCGATTTTGCAGAAAATTGGGCAGTAATCTTCCCAACCGAAGTGCAGAGTTTTCATTGGAAAAAAACTCAAGTGTCTCTCTTCAGATCTGTGGTTACGTCCACACATGGTGCGTAAAGCTTTGCCGTTGTAAGCGATGACACGACACATGACACAGCTCACGCTCTTCTAGCCATAGAGGCCATGGAAGAGTATGTTGATGAACATTACCCAGTCTTTTCTGAAATAATTTTTGTATCGGACGGAGTGGCAGTGCATTTCAAGAATCGCTTTCAATTGCACAAACTGTCTCGGAAGCCATACTCTTCGGCAAGATGGATCTTTTTAGCAGGGTGTCAAACCGGAACCGAACCGAACCGAAAACCGGAACCGAACCGGTATTTTTTCCGGAACTGAACCCGAACCCGAACCGTTATATTGTTATCGCGATGAACCCGAACCGGAACTGAACCGGAAAAAAAATAACGGTTACCGGCTCATGTCAAAACGGTTCGGCCACGCGCTGTTGACAATGAATGTACTATCAATGCCATTTGTTTTTTAAGTGCCGTCAACTGACACACACCTCGCTTACATATTTTTCTTCTCCACTCAGTCTTAGGAATATAAACGCTGCATCCATGAATCTTGACAAACGCTGCATCCATGAATCTTGACATAGGAACCAGTATTGCGCTGGTCGCGGCTTGCACGGAAAAAAGAGAATTGGAAGGCTGTGAAAAAAAAAAAAAAATCGCGTCACGGGATTTTATTTTTCTACAATCTCGTAAATCCTAAATGCTGCTATGTGCTCATTTCATAACACGTTTCTAGAACGCGCGAGTTCTTGAAGCTTGCTTCCATCGGAATGAGAAAAGAAAAGGCTGTGGAGCTTGATAATGTTTGAGGGAGAGAAAGAAATTTTATTTACAGTTGAAATGAGCATTCATGAATTATATCTGCTCTTCGCTGCCCCAACCACCGGTCAGAGTATATCGAGCTATGAAGTGTCAAGATTTACATGCCGTATTTTTTCGTACCGGAAACTCGATGTATCCCGTTTCGTATGTGCTGATTTCAGATGTTTTATTTGTAATTTATTTTGATGTTGAAATTTGTCATTTATAATTTCCGAACCGGTTCGCGAACTGGTTCAGCGCCCCGAACCGGTTCGCGAACCGGTTCGCGGATCGGATTAATCGAACCGGAAATGAACCGGAACAAAATAAATTTACCTGAACCTGAACCGTAACCGAACCTGTATTTTTTTCGGTTCGACACACTGCTTTTTAGTCACTGGACACAGAAAAAGCGCTTGTGATGAAGTAGATGGTGTTCTTAAATACCACGCAACGCTCACCAACTTGAGATCTTCGCTCAACTCAACGACTATCACCGCTAAAGACTTTGTGGAAGTGCTACGTGAAAAAGTAACAAATGTCTGCATGTTCCACCTGTCTGCAGAACGTGTTCGAGAGTTTCGTGCAGTGAAGCAAGCAGAGTGGACTACCGTAAAATCTGTGAGAGGAATCCAAGCATCTCATCCGTGAAAGTCATCATATGCCGAGAGGCCGGATGTATACATGGCCACTTGCGCAACTGCGAGTTTTAAGCTCATGTACGCATAGTTAGCGAATTTGCAGAGTTTTTGTTTTTGTGAATTGTAAGCTAATTAATGGTATTCCAGCTCAAAGTCTCTTTTCGCGTCAGTTGTACTCACCCCTTTTGAAAAAAAGAATTAATAAATATAAAATGCATGCCAATACTAACGCTCAAAATGTTTGGTGTTGTGCGGCACAGCTGCTATGGTGAAAACGTTGGCTCGCTCCAAGTGAAGGTTTGTCGTAGCTTTTCCCGTTCAGAGGTCATATGTTACTCAAAGTTTTGCCATCACAAGTTATTTCAAGTCACTGCAAAGTGCCAAGGGGAGCTTGAAAAAAAAAATAAAAGATGGGAGTTTTTTTAAATATTGATGCCCAACATTGCCATATTTTGAGAACTCAGCTGCATTTCCGCGTTAATTACAAAAAGACAATTAAAGGTGGGCATATAAGTTTTATATATTCGTAAAGAATATTTAAAGACGCCCATTTTGATGGGTTATGTGAAGGATTATAAAAGAAAGTTTATTTGCAAAAAAAAAAAATAGTGAATATGTGTCTAAAACGTGATTTTATGCCATGTTAAATTTTTTTGTTTTCATATAAATATTTTATTGATATTTTTCATTTTTTGAGTATGTGTTGTATATCTTCTGTAAAATGTATTAAACAAGTTATGGTGACATCAAAGCTTCGATGAGAAAATGACGACTGTGCAAAGTAGCATCGTGGAAACTTCTCAATTTCCACGCCTCAAGCTTCTCTATTTTATATCTTAGCGAAAAAAATAGTTACGGTGTTCATATATAGCTGAATGTCCCTCCCAAGAACATGGCTTTCGTATATGTTTATGAAAATATGACTCGGACCATCTACGCACGAACTGACGTGGAATCACTCTTTTAACTTTTAAAAACACTTACTGGTTAGTTGGAAAATTTGGCATCTGTTTTGGACCACTAGCACTACAAATGGGCAGCGAATGACTACTAGTTTGATCTTGCAATGAAAAAAACATTGTAAATTCTTTTGGGGGCATTCCGTACAGCAGGCAGTAGCAGTGTTCATGTATACAAGAAGGAGTATGGCTATTAGAAGTTGATAATCGGCTATCTAAGTCAACTAGCAACGGCAGGGGAATGGACTACTAATGGAACGCCACCCATGTGCACTGTTCTTCACTGACAAAAGCTTTATTCTGGTTAGGCATAAATGCACCACTATGTCAACAAAACTGCCTACATCACCAAAGTTTAACAAAATGTAAGGATTTTCCCTTGGCTATTAGTTACTCGGTACTCGCGAGCATTACATACGGTTCTGTTGGTAGATTGCTGAGTAACTTTGAAGTAGCTCTTCTGGTCATTCAATAGACCGATCTCACCAAAGGAACTGTGCAGGTGCGCGTATTCCGGGAGTAGTGCCGCCACCATGCTACTTGTTGCCATCACTTTCCAGTTTTCCCGGCTGCCGTGGTGCACATACATCGTTGCACATCATCGTTTGGGATGCCCAGGTATTGGCCTGGATCAAGCTGTCATGTCTGCACTTCGTGGGATTGTGTTCTTTTTGATGCCTTTGTCAGCAACATGGAAAAGCAGTTGCCACCGTTTTATAGCTTCAGAATCATTTTATCATTTGCTGCGACATCCGAGTCGTTCACACGGTGGTCTCACTGCGGCCGCGGAAAAAACGACAATGCCACAACTCTATCTCTCCGGCTGCTCAGACGTCTCAATGAACTTGGAAACAAGTGAGCATCTAGTTCAAGGGCAAAGAACACGAAAATTCGAGGGACCACAGGCTCGCCGTAGGATGGCGGCACCATGAAATAGCATCGAGTCGGTGGGAAGTGGAGCATGGTATGTACTTTGGCTTGTGCATGACGTTTAATCTACAATGAAGTATGGAGAGCTAAATAGACTTTCTCAGGGAGCGAGAGTTTTCTAAAAGTCGTTTCACTATGATTGACAGCCTGTGCAAAAGGGTACAGATGAACTCCGGGGAGAAGCCTGCACACTAACAAGAAGCGATCCACAGAAGGAACATGCCTGACACGGCGTAACAACTCGCATCTGTCAAAAAGCAGCAACCATGCCATATACGTAAAATGTCTCTAAACATAAAAAAGCAATTTATATCTATTTTATTTTGTTTGCGCAAGTTCCAAACACCAACAGTCGCCCGACGGTAGGAGCTTTTGTCTGCAGTCTCGACGGATCAGTAACGTTAGCCAAAATCAAGTTGTGGAATAATAGACCGCCACTAGGAAGGGGGGGGGTGTTTTCGCTGACTTTCTGGCGGTAAGTGTTGCACTTCTAAATTACATTGCGCGGTGTTTTAATGTTTTGTTCAAAAGAAATAAAGATTACTTTGGAAAAGAAGTTGGTCTCATTTCAAGAAATCACCGCTTTTTTGTTAGTAACTGACCTAACCTTTTTAAGCATGGATGTGCTTGAAACATGTTGTAGCAATAGCAGTAATAACCACCAAAATACATCAAGCAAAAAGTGCATTAAAAATGACCGCCGCAAGGCAGCATGGACGACCCACTTGAGATTAGTCTGCTACGGAGCGAGTGCTCAGGGAGATTCCAACGCATGGAACACTTCGGCACGCCTGACTATGTCTCGTGCCCTGTAACCTTACACTCCTTAGCTAACGTGCAATAGGGTGGATAAAAATCATGAAGCAAATTGCAAAACACATTGAAATCACCTAGCTGTGTTTGGAGGTTTGTGTTTGTCCTTTGTCCCTTTATTACCCTTCTCAAGGGATTATTTTCGCCATTCTTGTCCAGCTTGCTTGCCCCTTTGCATTTAATTGCATTGTAATTATAACATTGAAATTCCTTTTCTTTCGTCCTGCTCTGTCTGGCTCTGTTCACCTTGTTTAGCCCCACTTGTCGGAGGCTGCTTTCTTTCGAGAAGACATGAAATCCTATGCCCTTTTTACCAATGCCGTTATTGTAACACCCTGGCAAACAGGTGAAGCCACTCATTAGAAACTGTTAGAAAACAGCCCATTAAAAGCCTCATGCTAACCCTCGAATTTTCAAACACCGGGCAAACAATGCGCACCGAAGCGGCCGGAACACCGGGGAGAACTAAAGATACCAGGGTGCACCTTGGCTGCCGCGCAACTCCTGGTGAGATAGGTCTATCGTGCGTGCAGGTGCGAGTTGATTCCTATAATAATAGAAGTGCTTTCGCTTTGCTCCAAATGTACCAATGGATGTAGCCCGATTTTAAGACAAACTAGACAAAAGATTGCAGACCTTCCAGAACAGCCTGTCACAATAGCTAGGTAATTATTTTTGCCAAAACCCACTGCCACTGCCACTGCCACTGCCACTGCCACCTGCCACCTGCCACCCCCCACCCCCCACCCCACCTTAAAAAAAAAAGCCTATCATGTCTTTGTCATTTCTGATAAACATGGAGACGCATAAAATGTGTTGCAAACGAGCTGGGCACATGTCGTGTGTGTGGGTATGACATCACAGGTGTTACGCGACTCTGACATGAGGCCTGGAGTTCGGCAAATTGAGGCCACACCTACAAAATGCAGCCAAGAAAAGAAAAACATAAATATCATGAGTCCTGAGCTGTTTGTTGTCCTTTCAATTCACCTCAACAGTCCCCATACATTCCAAAATACCATCAAGGTCAGTTCCAACCCGAACCAAGACCTGCCAAGACGCTTAAAAGACAGCCACCATCTGTACCCAAACCCATGCTTACCTTCTGGGTGTTCGCAAACTCCTCGGCGGTAAGCAGGGGCCGCACAGAGTCCAGGTACCTCTTGAGGGTGTCCTGGAGGGGTGCCACAGGGAGTCGCTTCAACTCCTTCTGCCTGGACAGCATGAGGCCTGCCTGGAAGGCCGGAGCAGCCGACCCACCTGACGACGTCCGAGTCGCGTCTCGGCTGAATTCGTTAACCTAAACGAAAGCAAGACACCGTGAGCCCACAGAAAATGGCAGCGGAAATTAATGATGAAATATAACCCTGGAGAAGGGGAACAAGAGGGACAAAGGACAAACATAAATCTCCAAACAGAGCTAGGAGACTGGTGAGTAACTTTGAATGGCTTCGGCAAAGATGGCCTTAACCCACAAGGCATCTAATGCAAAGCAGGAGGTCTCTCGTATCTAACCCCCACAAACAGGTACGTACATCTATATGAAAGGATAGATTAAGTGAATCTTTTTCGAGTAATGAGCGCCCCGTCTGGGAAATTGTCTGCAAACTACAGATGAAGGGCGGCCCAGCATGCGTGGAGGTAGGAAACTTCTCGAGGCGACATGACGCCACCAGAAAAAAGGCCAGGGGAGACTTCCGGTTTGGAGAGATGCGCCCCGAACGATGACCAAAACCAAAAGAAGTTATTGGACAGAAAGGACAGCCAATTTGGTGCCAATGGCTGTTTTGGCCACCCTCGAGGGCATCCGCACCGAATGTGAGCTCTACTTCCGGCTTCACTTGGGATTTAATCGTTTGGCTGGCTTGAGCCCGTATGTCGCCTCCTCTTCTTTCTATCTCTATGCCAGCATGCCTCTGCCCGTCAAAGCACATAGGCATTGTGCCGTGGTATCGGCTTTCACTGCTATTCATACCTCATACTGCCAATGTTAAAGGGAGAATCGTCAAAAAAGATGAGATATGTTCATAGATAGGTGCCAGACGGCGCCCTTCGAACATGGCGACAGTGGAAAAGAGGGTGTACGCAGGCGGAGATTTACTGGTAAAAGGTCAATTTGAACCTGTTTGCATTGCCAGATGTGCCTGATGTTCAGTACATCCCCACATCTATAAGACAGTGATGTGATTGGCCTAAGCCGTTTTGGAGCACCTTTTGGCGCAGCCAAAACAGTGTTTGGGAGCAGCAAAAGTGGACTTCGGAGCAGCTAATACAGTGTTTGGGAGCAGCAAAGGTGGATTTGGAGCAGCTAAAATAGTGTTTTGGAACAGCAAAAGTGACTTTTGGTGCAGATACTCTTACAAAAATAGAAATATTTCCTTCAAGTGCTGGACAAACGAAGGGCACTTTGCTCGCCGCAATAAACAAATTATAGTCAAGTTAGACCACCTGGGAGTCTTTCAACATGTAACTGAAATGCCAATGACATGACACGTTTTGGAATGCTTCAGTTAAGTGATGCATATATATGTATCCGTTATAGGTGAATGAGAACCAAGCTGCACATATTAAAATTTATTTGAAAATGACCAGCTTAGTAGTAAATATCGCAGCATTAGGTTGACTAGTTATATAATAAATGGAAGCTGTCTCTGACTGTTGATACACGAGACCACTACAGTGCAATGCGAAATTGTCGCGCGAGCGGCAATGGCTGTTCGATCGAAACCATGCCACTCCGCTCCGTCGCCAACTGGTTCTCAAAATTGTATACAAATAGTAACTGTCCAGGATACGACAAAAACAGTGCAGCCGCACGTGCTTGCGAGACCGGCTGGTGAGGTACAAGCTAAACACACAGAAAAAAAAAAAAAAGAATCTGAGCACATCGATGCAAGACTTCACGAGCCAGGGTCAAAAAGCTCTCGGAGCGCTTTGTGCACCGACTGAACTCGAGACAAACAAGCGCGTTGTGAGTGTTCAGCGTGCAGACATTGCCTTCTTTGCTTTAGCCTCACTTCCCTTCACCAACTCTCTTTCGCGGCAGATTTTTCACGTACCGGGGTACCCCTCGAAAGAAAGTGTACCGAGAGAAACCCAGGCAATCAGTACTTCGACACAGCAGTCTTTGAGCTAAAGGGATTTTAGCGTATTAAACAAGAACTGGAACGTTGGTGAACATTAGGGCGGTCCTTACGTTTCATTTTAGAAAGCGCCATATCTGCAGCGACGTGGGGACGGCAACAGCCGACGTCGCGCGACCCGGGTGACTGGCAGGCAGGGACCAAATATATTTAAACTTGAGGAAGAAAACGAGAAGGGACGGACAAACACAAACTTCCAACTGGCAAGTTTCCTCAAGTTTCCTTAAGTTTTTAATTATCTCTACCAACCCGCTCGTTCTGTCTCGACCGAATATAGTTTTCCCACGACCATTGCTTTCAGGCGCAAGTGCTTCAGCTCACAAAGTAACTCCCACCGCGCAAAAACGTTTTTCGTTTCACAGCTTGATGGCATGGCTGGTCCGCACATGCGCGCGTCTATCGTTGAAAAAGTTTTAAAAAGAAGTGACATGCGAGACGACGAGAGCGCGAAACGAGAGACGGCGGGAACGAGAGACGGCGCGAAACGAGAGACAACGGATGAACGATTGATGCAGGGTACTTTGTATCGGGCGGCCGCTTGCGCCACCTAGCACACGCATGCTCAATTACGGCACTCAGTTTAGTTTTAGTATTGTAAGGCGACCAAAATTGGTCATTTGGCGCAGGCTTGGCGCAGATTACCCTTATTTAGGCAAAATGTAGCAGGATGTAGCAGGCTTAGCCCCTTGGCGCAGTTTGGCGCAATTGGCGCAGCAATCACATCACTGATAAGATCATTTTAAAGAGAAATTGATTTCTCAGACTTTGTGTGATTTTGAGGAATATGCTCATCGAACTGTCATCCTTTCGGTTGTTTCAATTGGAATTTATAGTCGAACTCCTCAAAAAAGTGCTTGCATGTCCCATGAAACATTCTTCCAACTTTTCAGAATGAAGTTCTAAAGGTGCGAATGCAGACATTGTGGATGCTGCCACGACTTTGCAATGCAAACGTGGGTATGTAAAAACCGTGATCTGTTGCAAAATATTGACAGTTACAAGATATCTCGTTGATCGGTGCACTCTGCCATGTTGGAAGAGGTTTGTCCTTAAAACATGTGGACGCAATTGGCTGGCAGTGACATCAATCCCTGTGAGGAGCACGTGTCATTGCATTCTTTGTTACCGATTGCAGAGAAGAGCATCTCGATGTACCCACGTTTATGCTCACAGTACTGATTCTGCTCATCTTGAAATACTGTGGTTGTCTGGGACCCGTCAACTGTGCAACTTGAAGCATGATTGGAGTCAGTATAGCGCTTGGGACGCCTTTCCCATTGTGAGGCCACAGCATGGTTACTCAGCAGTACCCTACCAAAAGCTGCATACCTGCACCCTCTTCCCTTTAGGATCCACTCCATCTGAAACGCCAAATGGTGATTACACAGCTCCTGGCAACTCTCCATTTTCCAAGCTCCGCACTTCCCCTTGATCTCTCTGTGGCATGCTATTAATTCTGATGGGTTTACTTCGGTTGATCGAATGCTATTTCATCAAACCACCATTTAGAAAACGGGCATGTTTTATCAAAGCTCGGTTTAGAGAAAGCAGAGCCTCAATTTAGAGAAATGCCGTTTATCGAACAGGAACGCTGTTATTTGCATGTGTATCACTAGGGCACATATTAACCCCCCACCCCCGCATTTTTGCCACTTTGCGGCAACAGTCTGCGGCGGCTCAATAAAAAAAAATGCGAACCCACCCGGACCATCCGTACACGCTATTTCACGGCGGCCAAATTCGCTAAATTGAGGCTCATCACCATTTTCCCTAAACTGGGTTTCTCTATAAAGAGATTTGATAAACTGTGGTCGGTTAAGCGGTGTTCGCTAAAGTGAGCTTCTCTAAACCGCACGTCCCCGTATTCTGCTGACCCGCAGCATTGTTTGTTTAAGTTATGGTGACTGAGTTGCGTCTTTGACTGTTCTATTTAAAAAGCCTCTGACACGCCAAAAAAAAATACTTTTTTTAATGCTAGGCGTTGAAATGGCATGTCGGGACATTACAAAAAAATTGCTTCACTATAGAGTTGCGTAGTTTTTTAATAAAAAGTAGAAATACGAGGCCCAATTCAAAGTTCCCGCCAGTGCACTGTGACGTAACAGTGTACCACAAGGTGTCGGGGCGGTCAGAAGGGAGGCATCGTCCTACGTCACTAAAGGTGGGTTCGCAGGAAGTCATGTGAGTTTCACTCCTTGTGCTCTCCGCGACCGCGCCCAAAACTTTTTTTTTCTTTTTTTTTTTCTGCTTTTTGTACGAGCAATATTAGGAAACGAAGTTTCAGCTCCACTAGCTCTTTATCGCTGCACCATTGGTTAGTTTGCGTACTGTAAAAGTTGAGGACGAAGAGTCAGTGGATCGACGTAATGGAGGTCAATGATGAAAACGTTGCGAGTGCAAGCCAGTGTACGAGAGTATGCCGTCAGTCTGATGATACAGAGCTATACTGGGCACAAAAAAAGCTATCAAGTTTTGAAAAAAAAATTTTAGAACGCTCGCAGAAATTAGGATTGCTAGCGTACGACACACCCAATTGCACTGCTGAAGGTTCGGACACCGAAGTCGTCGAATCATTGTATACTCTCCAGGCTGAAGATGCCTGCCGTCTCTTGGAAATGCAAGCAGTGTCATCTCTTCTTCAGTTGCTGAAATACCGGGACAGTCCCTCACACAGCACCTTCTAGGCATTGTAGTTGATCAAGTGAATTCACTGACTCCTCTTCTTCTACCTTTACAGCAACATTAAGCGATGAAAAGCAAATAAAAGAAACCTTGTCTGCTTGGATCACTCGTGGAGGTGCAGAGAATAACAAAAATATTTAAAAAAATTATTACACGCGCTCGCGGTAAGCACGAGGAGGGATACAACTCACGTGACTTCCGGCGATGCCTCCCTTCTGACCGCCCCGACACCTTGCGGTACACTGTTACGTCACAGTGTACTGGCGGGAACTTTGAATTGGGCCTCGTATTTATATTTTTTATGAAGAAAGCTACGCACCTTTATAGTGAAACAATTTTTTTGTAATGTCCTGAAATGCCATTTCAACGCCTAGCATGAAAAAAAATTTTTTTTTTTTTTTGGCGTGTCAGAGGCTTTTTAAGTCTCATATTGCCCAGACATTGAAAGTGGTTCCAAAACAGAAACAAAAAGATCCGGAGAAAAAAAGGAGCGAATACAAGAATCGCTGTCGTCACAGTCTCCCAACTCAAGCTGTTGGAGTGCACCTGTCAAGCTGAAGAGCAACCGACAGCGAACCATATCTCCTGTATCCGTATCAGCTGCTGCATCACCGCCAGGATCATGGCAGGCAGCAGCATGACACTTCTGTGCTTTCATTAGGTAGAAATTAAGGGACCAAAAATGAAGACACAGCTATTTGACAGACCAGTT